ATATATATATATATCTAAAGATGGATATTATGAAATTTTACTTAAAAAGATATTTCTTCTATTTAATACTTAATAAATATATTTAAATATACACAGTTAATAAATATATCTTTCCATAGATATGAAAAAAGATATTTTGACTTTTAGGTGGATGACGAGTATGTACTTGCGGATATATTGCGAAAAGCTAAAGAAGCACATCTTATCTCGCATATCATACAAGATGCGGGTCGTACACAGATACAAGTAGGAAGTAAGACAGTATGCGTGATTGGACCAGGTCCGTCGAAATTAATAGATAAGATAACTGGTGAATTCAAATTGTATTAACTGCTTGTCAGATCAAAATTGATATTTTTATTGTTCAAATTTACATTTATTTCTAGTATTATCTCGTTATCATATTGTCATCTCCTGTTTTATTATTGTCTCTTCTATTACAATGATCAACCTGTCAGATAAAATCTTGAAATTACTAATCTTTTAAATGGTAATTTCGTTGTATCCGAGTTTTTCCTGCTATGGTATATTTGTCAGTCACTTAAGCCATGTAAGGTTGATATGTATGCTATATAATGAAATATAGCATAGATGTACGCATTTGAAAGTGAGATAACACTCTCCCGAATACAAGTATACACGAGCGAAGCAAATTTCTTTCTCAACAAGCCTTGACAAAATTGTATCTTCTGTAAAATTGTCCTTAAAATTAATATAATACATCCTTGTATTTCATCGAGTTTAATATATCTGAGTTGACTGTCGTGTTCTCATATTGTCGGTGAAGTGTCGTCAACACACAAAGCGTAAGCCCGGATTTGTAATAAGTATAATGAGCCTTCGGTCTTGCGCTCTAAGCACTGAATTGTAACGTAATTTCCAGCAAAAAGCGTTTACAGCACTGCCAGACGTCGGAATTCCCAAGATTTGGGCGTTATTGCAACTTTTGGCAACGCGGGAAATGCTTTTTGTCAAAGATTTACATTACACTTTATTGCTTAGGGCAAATGACTAAAAGCTTACTACATCTATCGTGAATCCGGATGAAGAAACACTTTCAGTCGAATGGTTAAGGCTCGAATGTTGATGGAGTTGAGATTATTCATGTTAAAGTCGAGTGAACGTCAGTCATGTACGAAGGAATGAAATTTTGCGGACATTCGAGCCCTACATATACGGTTGACACTTTTTGCTAACTAATAATTAAGTGTTTGGACAGATTAGCATTAGAGTTGAGCATATCAGCGAAACTTATCAGCGAGATTATCATCATCTTCCTGCATAATGGAGCTCGTTATGCCACGTGTACACCTCTGTGGAAACTTGTCTCCAGAAAATGTTTCTGACAAATGTCAAGGCATCCACACGTCGCCTTGTGCAGCCCTCCGTTACGAATGCTTCTGTGTTCGAATACTGAGAAATATCGGCAAAGTTCGGTTTAATCGCCCGCGTTACCCGCTTCCTCATCGGTCGTCAAATTTCCCGCTTAGGTCTGCGCTTCGCAAAGCGGCGACAGACTTTTTTTTTCCCGATGTGTCCCCCGTTCTTTGGTACCCAGTACTCCAGTAGTTCGCGATTACATTCTAAAACGAATAACACTTATAAATATCGTATAAATAATCTATACCGGTGGCGCGGGAGCTTTCCGAGGTATTTTGTTCGAGCTGGCGGCGCTGCATTGCGACTCGGCGATCGACCTGCCATCGGCCTCGTCCCGCCGGCAAAGCTCCGGCTCGTTTTGCATCCAATTTTGCGTCTGATTGTGAGCCGCCTTCGCTGATTGCGGTTCCTCGTTTTCCGGCACGGAGCCGACCTCCTCCAGTAATTTCGACAAGGACGGCGCCAAGCCCAGCCCCAGGTTCCGTTCATGATACACCTCGGAGATCGTGGGCGTGAGCTCGCGGGTCAGACTCGTCAAGGAGGTGGCCAGGTTCCTCAGGTTCTGCGGATGCGTCTCTGTGGATTGCGTGGTGTCCGGCTGCGGGCAGATGTCCTCGCTCGTCGCCGTATGCCGGGCTTTCCTCGACGTGTTGTTACCGATCTCCGTTCTAACGCTGAGCCTCTCCAATACGGTGGCCGGCAGCGGCGGCAGCGGCTGACGCCTCAGCACGGTAGCGTGGCCGTTGTCCCAGTCCGTCACCGAGCTGCTCGAGCTCGAGCCGGGCCTCACGTTCTGGTCGGGGTAAAGATTCCGGATGCGCGTCTGATGATTCAGGTTGAGCGCTACGGGAGGACTAGGTGTAAACGCCACGTCTGATTCACCTGGGGGGAACAAGGGCGTGTTTGAACACGTGTCCTCTCGAATTGCGAATCTTCCTTGCTCGATGTTACAAACTGAGCCGAGAATACATCGCTAAAGGTATGCGCGACAGCACTCTATGCTCGAGATGACGAAGTCAATAAAGTTAACTTGGATTTATTCATACTATAGTATTTACATGTACCTCCTCCATTTTGACACGGCTGGCGCGGCGTCGGTATCAGAACGTTCGATGGTTCCATGGTCTTTCCGTCCGGCTCACCACGATGTCGCACGTAACTTGCAAACGCTCCTCCCAGTCGCGGCCGTTCCATAAGGTTCTTTTCGGTATGGGCCACGGAAGCCAAACTCTCCATCGAACTGCTAGAGTCTAAGCTGAGGCTCTTTGGCGCTTCTTGCGTATCTAGAATTCAAGTTGTTGCGTTACACGCGATGAACGTAATTAAGTAGTCTCCGCTCATACAGTCACAACAAATATATGGTTTTTATGGATATAAATATTATATTACCGCGATTAATTTCTCCCTATCATTATTACGTGTTGATATATATGCCAATTTACCAAACAATGCGAGAAGGGCTTGAAGAGCAAACTGGACAGCTCTACGCGAGGCTTGTTTCCCTGTTCTCAGCGTCACCTCCGACTGCCCGACCTCCATTAGATCGAAGCCTAAGCTGGCGAACAATTCGTGTGATCCGGATGCTCTCCAAACGTGTACGGGCAAGATCACTTCTTGACCTTCGGTTGCGCAACTGGCTCTCCTCATGGCAGCAATCACATCCTCTGCTGCTTCTGGAGCCTGGATTAAAAGTATCGTCAACAATTACACTTAAATTAAAAAAGAATCTGATATGACTAAAAATAGTTAATGGTTAGAAATTTTAGTATGACCAAAACTTTCAATTTAAATATGCTATAAATAGAAAATATATGTTAAAACACATAAGTTCCAACATAAATAAGATGTTCTTATTAATCTTTCTTCTAATAATTTAACAATTCTCCTCTAATAATTCACTTCCAGTAGTCAGCTCTTCTGATAAGTAAAATGATAAATATGAATGTGACAAAAATTCTTATCGATGGGATACAATTAAGATGGACGTAGCGTAAGAATCCAGTACCTGTAAGAGCCTAGCTAGAGCGTGCAACGACGATTGGCCTAGTCCTAATAAAGCCTGTAAGCTGGCGCTGCATCTCGTCAGTCTTTCCTCGGGATCACTTTGAGGGAAGAACACGGACGACGGTATGCCATTGCCGGCTGGCTCGAACCTGAATCCTACGGACATCAGGAGCTCTCGCCAACCGGTAGCCGCGCCCACTTTGTTCTCGATGCTACGCTGAGTGGTGTACATGGCGTTCTTCTGCCCGCGATGGATTCTCTGTAGCGACTTCTCCACCAGATGAAGCGTCACTCGCAGCGCGTCTCGGCTCTGCTCGGGACCACCGCGCAGTAACTCCGCCAACGCTTGGCCCATGAGTGCAACCTAGCGAAGAAACAAATCGGATTTGTTTTATGAAAGCTCTATCGGCTTATTATATATTATATATAATTATATATGTAAATATATAGAAAGGCAATATTCGTGTATAAAAATTCATCTAAAATATATGAAAATTATATATTTTTATATACATTTTTGTATATTATTAGATTTTTTATATATATTTTATATGATTATATGTAAACATTCTTTCTCCCGGGGGAAATAAATCCTATCTGACACACCTTGTTAGACAATCTCGCGTCGCCGCCAATGAGCAGCCAACCGGCCCAATTCGCGGGGTGAGCGAAGTGTCTCGTGTGTTGGACGGTCTGCATCGCCTCGGCCAATGCTCGTGACGCTCTCGCACCTTGCAGCATCGCACTGTAGAACGCCCGCAGCAGGATACTGCCGGCGGTCGGCGGCACCGCCCACATCCCTATCAGCACGCACTGCGCTCCCGCGCTCAACAGGGTCTTGGCGAGGTTCTGTATACCGTCCGACGTCGCGTTCGTGCTCTCCACGTTGTTCCAGCTGTGACCGCTCGACACGACCACCAAGCGCGCCGACATTCTCAGCCTCAGTATGTCCGCCTGGCTTATCAGATATTCTGGTCTCTCGGACGGCTCCTCGCACTGGTCGGCGGTGAATGCTAAACTACCGGTGTTCCAGAAGACCGGCACCGTCAGGTGCACACACTCCGCGTCCGGTAGAGACCTCAGGACTGCCGATCTCGTAGCCTCGAGTCCTGTCGCACAAATGCAATGCGTGAGAGAGCGATTTTGCAGAACATTTCTCTCTCGCAGGTAGATGGGAAGATCTTTGCACATGATTGAAATGGATGGCTACGTTCGGAAACATCACACTGAGAGTGGAGTAGTAGCATTTAATTGAACAAGCAGGACAAAAAGACCTGAGATTTCTTTAACATGATCGGTCAATTAAATGTCACCCCACCCTTAGTGTGTATTCTCGAACACGGTCTACATCGTATCCATAAGTGTAGCCAGTTTACTAACCAGTCATCGCGCGAGCTTCCAACAATTCGGCGACTATCTCTGACTCGGTCTCGGTAGATGCGACGCTCTCGGGCCACCCGTACTCCTCTCTGACGTCTTCCGGCAGAACAGGGTTCCCGGCGACCAAGGCGGCCACGGTGGCACCACCCTCCAGCACCGGTGTCTTCGATCTCTTCCTGAGAGCCGCCAGAGAAGGCACCACCAACAGCGAGAACCTCTCGCACAAATAGTCCTCGCCCGGATTAGACTGCAGAGCTGGGAACGGCGCCAAGTAGAGAGACTTCTCCACCACCATGATCAGCTCTTTCCGCGGCGGCGGTAGCAGATCCTCGAACGGAGCGAGGAGGAGGTCGTAGAGCACCTGTATCGGCAACGGTGCCTGCCATGTGGGTCCCTTCACTCCTCGTCCCCAGCGGGCGCTCCCCGCGCGAGAACTCACTGAGCCGACGCTGAAGAGACTGCTCAAGCTGTACGAACTGGCGTTCAAATGGTGGCCCCTCGACGGAATCTTGGTGGATTCCTCTATGAGATCGTTACTCTCGTCCAGGAGCGCCTCACGCGCTTGGACCACTCTCTTCTCCAGATCCACGCCGTCGTCCAAGGTGGTGGAGTGGAACCGTAAAAGGCCGCGTCCCGGTGCCAAGCACCATGCGTGCAACTCGCAGCCCACCTCGCTGAAATTATTTCATGCAATCGTTGGTATCAATACTTTTTAGATTGACAATCCGCATAAATGCATCTTATTTCGTTTCGGTATGATTTCTCGTTTTCGAGATATAGCAATTTGAAAATAGCTCCTTTCCTATATAATACATGGAAGAGACATTTTATTCCATCTTGATGCTAAATTATGTGGAAAGTGTTTTTGCATCTATAAAATATAATCGAATGATACGAAATCAAAAAACAATATGAAATTGACAAAATACAATATGGCAGGAAGATGTTAAGATTATAATCTTAGATTAATCATAGATTGGATATGGTTGGAACGAAAGTTGCTAGTTGCATAGCTGGAATAGATTGTCGAGAGAGAATACCAGGATAATTTCTCTTAATCGTACCTGTAGTACAAAATGACGCCACGTTGTCGATCGATAATCTCAGAATAGTGGGCCGCGTCGTCCAAAGAGTTGCTCTTGGATCGTCTGGACCTCTCCGCCCAATTCAGAGCCTCCTCCGCTCGGTTTAAGCTGATCAGCACTTTCTGCAGCATCCTGTACGTCTCCGAGAGCAGTTCGGTTCGGCTGGGTTGGCCACAGGTCAGCGACACGGAAGCGCCGTCCAACGATTCCAACAGATTCGCGGCCTTCTCCAGGTGTTCCACGGAGATGCTCGCTTCGCCGGCTTCCCAGTGCACGAGACCGAGTCTGTGTCTCAGTCTGGCCGCTTCCTCTCGCCTGCCGAGGCCCTCGGACAGAGACAAGCCTGATTGCAAGTAGCTCAGAGCGCGGGACAAATCGCCGCACAGATGATGAAGTCTTCCCAGACTCGAGAAGGCCGCTGCTCGCGCGGGCTGATCTCCCGCCGCGGCCGCCAGGCTCAACGACTGCTCCTGCAACCTGATAGCTTCCTCATACTGCCCCAACGTCTCCTGGGTCACTCCCAGATTGGCACAAGCGCGAGCTTGCAAGCCGGCCGCGTCCAGACCCTCGGCGATCGACAGTTCCAATTGATGATGGCGTAAAGCGGAGTTCGGATCGTCCATTAGAAGGTGAACAGCTCCCAATCCGCTGGCTGCTTCAGCCTCGGCTGCTTTGTCACCTAGTCCTCTGGCCAAGGCCAGTTGATGGGACAGGCAACTGACAGCCTGTTCGTGATTACCTAATGCAGCGTGTACCCTGCCTGAAAATTAAAATCGACATTGGTTGAATTTTCTTCATGTCGCATATTGAATTGCGTTATTTCTTGAATTTTACAAAGTTAGAGGCGATAACTATTGCCACCTTGAGGTATCTTCGAGGTATGGGAGTAGGAGAAAAATATATCTAACAGAAATTGCATCAACAGTGCCAGTGGTCATCACTGCGAACATCTTCTGTGGATGTTTTTCATCTTCATTTAGCGTTAATAGAATATATATTTTTTAAATATTTTTTTCGAAATTCTCAAGGTAGCGATAGTTGCCTCACTCTGTGTGTCGAAGTTGACCATTGACACGCCACTATTCATGCAAAATTACGTCAACGCGCCGGCTTACCCAGATCACCGTACGCAGCACCTCTCGCTTCAGGACTGTCCACCTCGTGAGCGGCCACCAGTCTTTTCTCGAAGCACACCAGGGCCTCCTGCAGATTGCCAGTCGCTTCTCGAGCTCTACCCAAACCTCGGTACGCTCTCTCCTGATCTCGGATACTCTTCAACTTGGTCGCGGCCGTCAGCTGTTGCTCGTGACACTTGATAGCTTCCTCCAGATCGCCTAAGGCTTCGTAGCAGTCTCCCAGGTTGCCGAGTGCACGGGCTTTGTCGAGCAAGGCTGTACCGGTAGTGAGCGGCTCCAGGGTCGCTAACTGTTGCTCGAAGTAACCGATGGCGTCTTCGTAATGCGTCATATTCAGTCTAGCTATGCCCAGATTTCCTGCGATAAGCGACATATAACCGTTGAGAGAGTTACTTTCCCTTCGATTCTGCAGCGGTTTTTTTTTCCATTCCGTACGCATTAATGACAAATTAATAGCGTCCTCGGTCGAGAACGAAAAATCGATACGCGCTCGCGAAATGCGGAGAATGCGAATTACCTAATGCTTGAGCTTCCACTCCGGAATCCGCTAGTTCCTTGGCTCTCTCCAGCTGTTCCTGATAACACTTAACTGCATGAGTATATTGTCCCAACGCCATATGCACCGCGCCCAGGTTCCCGTGCGCCCTGCATTCGCCACGCAGGTCACCAGCCTCTTGCCTCAGGGTCAGCTCCTGCGTGTGAAAACCCAACGCTTTGTCCAAGTTCTTCGTAGCTCGATGAGCGATACCCAGTGCGCCGTAGGCGGCCGCTTCCAGGCTACGGTCGGCAGCTTGACGGGCCAAGTTTAACTGACGTTGATGCATCTTGATAGCTTCGTCAACCTCTCCCATGCGTAACAGGCAGTCACCGATGTTGCCCAGGGCGCGAAACTTGCCAGCCAAATGTTTGGTCATATGCGCGATGGCTATATCAAGTGATCAACGATTGTACAATGTTACACGAAGTTTACCAAACAATATAATGTTTTTTTCCCCAAGGTTGGATAAATTTATGTTTTATTTTTAACCAAGTCATAAGTTAATAGTTAATGATTGTAATATTGATGAATTATTTTAACTTGCGACAAACGAAGTTAATAAAAGTTGAAGTTGATGCATTTTAGATTAACTAAAGTTTAAGTTGAAGATTAGCTCGTGAAAAATTAACCAAGTTGAAAGTGATTAATTTTCTAACTTAAATTTTAACTGAGTAACTAATTCTTAAGTTTCTTTCTTTCATCAATTTACACTCTCATACCTCTTTAATCACAAATAAAAAAGAACAAATTCGGGATACAAAAATTGAATTTTAAGATCTTACCTAAATAATATTTTTGGCACTCCAGAGCAGTGTCTAAATTCTCCAACGCCAAGTGGGCCAGACCCAGATTGCAATAGGCTCTGCCCATTCCCGATTTGTCCTGCAGATCCTTCGCTAACGCCAAATCCTGATCGTAATATCTGACGGCTTCCCGGTGATTCCCCAGACAATAATGAGCGTACCCCAAGAAATGGCATGCTTTAGCTTCTCCTTCTACGTCGTGCAGTTCTTGCGACAGCATGAGATAATGCTCGTAGTACGGCACCGCCTCCTCGAATCTGCCGCGCGAGGACAAGCAGTTGGCGAGGTTCAGCAGAGCGCACGCTTCGCCGGCTGTGTCCTTCAGTTCGCGCGCTATGGCCAAGTGAGCTCTGTAATGCCTCAATGCCGCCTCGTGGCCTTGCACCGCTTGATAGGCGACCGCCAAGTTTCCGTGGGTGCTAGCTTCCGAGCTGCGGTCGTTAACCTGGAAAAATTGAACGACGATGCATTGATCGTCGATACAGGATTGTTCGACGACGACACACAAAACGCAACTTTGACGTCGAACGACTCTACCTACCTCTTTGCTTATCGTTAGTTCCTGTTTGTGGTACTTGATGGCCTGTTCGTAGTAACCCAGAGCGTTATAAGCGTTCCCGATATTCCCGTACGCTCTACCCATGCCGGCTTTGTCTCCCAACGATCTTGCGATCCCCAAGTGGGCTTGATGCAACTTCAAAGCGGCATCGTGTTCACCGAGCAACTGATACACTATGCCGAGATTGCTGCAAGCTCGTCCCTCGGCCACTTTGTCCTTCGTGGCCAACGCCACGTCGAGCTGTCTCTGATGCCAGAGCTTGGCTTGCGCCAGGTCGCCTGTGTGCGGACAGATGCATTAATGTAAACACGTTCTCAGTATGAAAACGTAAGCAGTCGGTAAACAGAATTTTGAAAATGAGATATTTGTAACCATAAATAGGGGAAAGATGATAGAGGCCAATTGCGCAGAGATGCAATGTTCGTTAAGAGGAAGGTATAACTTAGACTCAATTATTAAAGATACATTGCCCATTAATTATATTTTCAGTGGCGCATTAAAAGAGCCATTCATAAATTTAATATTTATCAAACTTTTAGCGTCACTTTTAAATGCTAGGTCAAATTGTGTTTTCCTAATTTTTCCATTATTTTGATTTATGGGCAATACAAACGTAATTAAACGTAAGCAATCAACGACCGCAATTGGCTTCTATTGTCCTTCTCCTATTCATAATTTTAAATCCAAAGGCCAGATTATTACAATTTCGAGTTATTTCGCATCATCCTTTTCGCAGGACGAAAGCTTCACCTGCACATCTAGCGGCGTGACCTAACCCCGCGTAGGCTCTGGTCTCTATCGCTCTGTCACCGAGTTCCTGCGCTATTCTAAGAACGTTTTCGTGGTAGGCCATCGCCTGTCCGAAATTTCTGCGGTAATGATGAGACGAGCCGAGGTTGCTGAAGGCCCTCGCCTCCTCCACGCGATCCCCGAGTCGTCTGGCTATCCTGAGGTGTTGCGTGTGACAATCGACGGCGCTTTCGAACTCTCCCATTGCCAAGTAGACCGCCCCGACGTTGCCGATCTCCCGAGCTTCCTGAAGCCGGTCGCCCATCTGCTTGACCAATTGCACGCACTGCTTGTGAGAGGCCAAGGCATTCGGCAGGTCGCCGATCGCCGTGTACACGTGTCCCAGACTGGTCAACGCCGAAGCCGCCGCCTGAGTGTCCTTGCACTTCATCGCAAGAACAAGCTGGTATCTATGAGCCGTTAAAGCCTCCTTGAAGCTGCCCTTGCTGAAGTAAGCGGAGCCCAGATTCCCGTGGGCTCTACATTCGCCCTGTGTGTCTCCTAGGGAACGTGCGACTCCTGGAAAGTATGATTGAAGGGAAGAAATCGCCTCGCATTATTTTCACCGCGAATCCCGACGTTGCAATATTTTCGTATCGCTCGAGTGACATCACACCGTCGCGTTTTCGCGACTCACGCTCACCTAGATCCTGCTGCATGTAGTTTATCGCTTTGTCCAGAGAGTTCAGCGCCCAGTACGCGCTGGACAGGGCGGAGAACACGGAGCCCCGCAATTTCAAGCTGCACGAGCCGATAGTGAGCGCAGCCTCCAGCACGCCAGCGGCCGCTCGGTATTGTCCAGCCCCAAGTAGCTCCTGACCGACCACGGATATGACAACGAACGGGGACTCGTCCAGCTTCATCGCGCGCAACTGCTGGAACGTCGGCTCCAAGGTCGGCCGCAACGGAGACTTCAAGGATGCTTCCACTAAACCGGATAATAGCTGACGATTGGACGCGTCGTGGGCTAACCCTGTGCTGAAGGCGACGAGAGCCTCCCCGTGACGGCCCAGGCATTGTAGCGCTACTCCTTGACGATAGTACGCCTGATAAAAAGTAAACTTTCGTGAATTGATTTGACTAAGAGAAAATGCGAAGGATGGTGTCTACCTTGGGCCATTGTGGACTCAGCTCGGTGGCTCTGACGGCGTCCTGTAATGCGAGCGCGAACAATCCCATCTTGAGCCGTGCGGCCGACCTGTTCGAGTACAGGACGTGGCTGAGGGGGTCCAAAGCGAGGGCCTCCGTGTACAAGGTTGCGGCAAGCGCGTAGTCCCCATTCTGGCATGCCGCGTTACTCCTGCGCACCGTCTCTAGGAATAATGCCCGGGATCCAGCGGCCAAGGCCGACGTACCTTCGGGCTCCACCTTAAATGTGGTATAAATCAATAAAGCTTTTGCCTAAGAGATATATGATTTGCTATTTTTATAAATATTCAAAGATGTGACGCTATGTGATACAAGATGAAAAGCTATAGGGGAATTGTAAAATAAAAGAGCACCACGAATGACTAGAAAACTTTCGCCGCAAACTGTATGACGGAAAATGATAATTCGAAAATGTTTAATATCGAACATTAATTAGAAGTATAAACATAGGAGATCACATTGAAGAAAGTATACAAATAACTCTTGTGTAAGGCTCGAAAGAGAGATGAAGAAATCACATACAAAAAAAAACTTTTATTTCTCACTAATAATGCGACGCTAACGTAAAATTAATGTAAGACATTGGGAAGATAATTAAGAGCAAATAAATAAGCCGCCAAAGGAGACTGATCCGATGATTCTAATCAACGAACACGAGGTAGATCCGCACGAAAAGCGCCGCGAGACCGATCAAAACATTATATAAGGAGAAACGTGAGGCGCGCGGCGACAAGAGAGAGACTGGCCCAAAAATCGTGCGATTTTCTCCGATCGGCCGCGACACCGGAGAAATCTCGTCGTTACCTCAGAGATATCCCTATGAGACATTGCTTAAGACGATCTAGTAGCATCCTCTGGCATGGGCATTATCTGCGGCGGGCGAGCTGGCGTGAAAACCGATCGGGCCCAGGATTTTGAACGTGCTACACACTTCTCTCTCTCTCTCTCTTTCTCCCTCTCTCTCTCTCTCTCTCTCTCTCTCTTTCTCTCCCTCTCTCTTTCTCCTTCTCTGTCTCTATCGCTCTCTCTTTCCCGGTGGGACTTATCTCTCTCGGCCCGTTTCTCCCGATCGCTACGTGACGTCGTTCCGCGTACTTCTCGATAAGCACTCGATGCGACCGCGAGCGGTAACGAGGGGGTTTCTTTTCGCTAGAACGGGCAAATGGGAGCGATTAATAAAAAAGGAGGGAGGCAGGCGTCTCAGGGGGGCACCCACTGCATTCCTCAGGCACAGCCATCTTGGAATGTGACCCCGGGTCCCCCCGTCGGGCCCAGAGCGGGGCCGGCACTGCCTGGCCCGTCGCTGTTTGCTTCTTCTATGCGCCTCCTCGTCCCCCCGGGCCCCAGTGGGTCCCGCTCGATCTGCAACACTATCATCAGCATACGGGCGAATAACACGCAGCATACGCGCGTGCACACGCACGCAGACAGAGAAGTGTGTGGAAAACGCGGGCCACGCGCGCGAAGATATCGGGGCCCGTCGGGGCTCAATACGCGCGCGCAACGGCAGCCGCTGCGTTACGCGTGTGCGTCCCGCGTTCCGAATATTAGGGGCTATCTTCGGTTGCTCGTAAACTTCATCTGGATGTATCCATTAATCACGCTGTACAGCCCGTTTCACCGGATGTTCGCCGAACTACGCATTCCTTGTCGGACTTCTGTGGCTGATTGTAAATCAGCCGAGGAAAATACCGTAACACACATATAAGTAGCGGCGGATAGTACCCTGGCGGATGTGGGGAAAACGGTGAATCGTGGCGGAAACTTCTTCTTTTTCGGGCGGGAGGAAAAGTCGCGTCGGTCTTTCCGACACTTTCGTCGGGGAATTATTCGTTCCCCGCGCGCGACCTGAAATAACAAATTTTTTAACAATGTGTATCGAATGAATATTAATATTTCCCAACTCCCTTCAATTTTCAATATATTGAGTAACATCGGAGTATCTGTTTTCATCTATCACGTATTTAATCACAGCGTTTTTTCCGCACGATAAAATAGAATAGAAACCTGTTACACGCGCGCGTTCAAGCTAAAAAAAAATCGGGAGCATGTAATCCCAAAATAAGGGCAGTTCGATATATTTGTTCCCGAAATATTTCGGCGGAATTTCGTCGGCTTTCGCTAGAAAAAATATCGTATTACAATCGGTTAAAAAAAATCAGAGAAAACGCGCGACCGGGACGTCAAGCGAGCGCTATATTTAAATGCGTTGGCTTAACATGTCTTTCGCGATACACATCTCGATCGTACTCTTATACTATTTTTACATGTTCTATTTTTCACAACAGATTCGTATCGAGAAATAACTGTATACATATTGGCTTGATGTCTTTTTTTTATTAATATACACTTTGTTGTCCTTGTGTTATTGCAACATTCATGTGTAATCCTTCGACGCGAGAAATCGTCTAAGAACAAAATCGTTGGAGGTTCCGCAGTTGATCTACAGAGTACTTATTAAATGCTATTTCTCATTTTCTTTCTTTCTCTCTCTTTTTCTCTGTACAAAATAGTACATAAATATATTTTGGCATTAACACTGTATATATATATATATATATTAATATATAAATTTGTGTGTTGGCATGTGTACGATATGACTTATAGCTATTATACACAGACTATTCTCTCACCTTAGAAGTTCGTACAAACGATACACTTATGTACTTGGAACTTGGAAAGAACGTGTCTGCGGGAATGTACGTTGTCACAGAATGTCGGTCTATAGCGCAAAATGGATCAGCCTAACGATCAACGAAACACAAAACTTCCACGATTATTACAATAACGCTATTTGTTGCATCGCGCATTAAATAAATGCGTGACTAAAGGTCGGAGGTTGCAGTATATATTACGCTATTGTACACGACGCAAAATACTTTTATCTATATTACCTAATATCGATTTACGTTATGTGTACTCGCGATGTTTACTCTTTCGTTTTGTTTGCACAAGTTTAAATACGTCATTAACGCAAATCATTGTTTGTCGATGCAATAAATTTTTATACTTTGATTAAAAATATAAATAAACTCTGAAAAATATAAATACGCTTACAAAACGTATATACGTATATCAACATGACAAAAAGGCAATTACGAAATTCGTCTTCGATGTGACTGAATGCAACATGTACGTAAGGAAAAGTGACAGACCTAAGGCCAGACTTTGTTGAAAAGTTCCATGAAGGAATCGTAAATCATAAATGTTATGGCGACGTCTAGACACACTCTGCCCAATCTCGGAATGGTTCCTTTGTAGAATGCCAGCGGACCCTCTTTCTTCCACACTTGAATCACGCAATCCATGGTGCCCTTGTATTTCGCAGCTTCTAATCCCTAAACATAAAACACATTACAAGTTTAGAAGGTTAAAATTTAGTACGCCCCGTTAAAGTCATAAATCACAATGTTTAAATATGATAAAAATAATTATTTTATAAGATTTTCATTGTACACATACCTGCATTCTAGTTTTAACAACGTCGATAGGCGTGTTTCCGAAAACTGATGCTGCGCCAGCGACAGCACCAAATATGCCAACGACTAATTTGGGAACACTTTTGGTATTGTCACCTCCTTTGTACCAATCTTTGAGGGTTTCCATCACAAAGAAACGAATAGCCTGATTTGATCCTTGCTTTAAAATTGTAGGTACTACTCCCTGGTACACTCCTTTAAAACCTTATGAACACAGTTAATAGCCTCTCATTAGCTTATCACTTTTATTGGTTGTTTACGACTAGATATACTTAAATATTATTAAGATATTTATAAAAATTTTGGTAAATAAGATAATATATGTTTTAATTAACGAATGTACCATTATAATTTTTTTTTAATTATTCATAATAATACTTGAAACTATAATTTTAAATAATCAATGTAATTATTTTTGGCACATTTTTAATAATAATTATGTAGTGAATATTTCCGTTATTTAATATACAAACAAGTTTACAAAGCTACTCTGATATGTTGCGTATAAACCGTCTGTGCAAGCATATGTCATCTGACCTAGTTTAAATAAGATGGTAACATGATTCTTAAGTCTCAAGGTTAGCTAAATTACTGTGCTTTAATCACATACTCGAATCACTGGAGAGTTTTACGTTACTCTATTCCTCTTTTGACATAATTCGAAATAAAATGTTGGAAATATAAAATTCAACAAAATTTTTTTAATTAAAAAACAATCTTGTGCAAAAATTGAAAAAAAAGGATATAATTGTTTTTAAAAAGTCTAAGGAATAGAATATAATTTATTAATTGATTCTTACCATGTTCTTTTACGATCAAACGTACTCCATGGAAAAACCCTCTGAATCTCGGATTTGCCGAACGTTGGTCATTGATGAATTTTACCTTAATAGTTTCCATGGGAGTAACCGCTAAAATAGCTTCACATACTCCAGCGCAAAGACCTGCTAGAAGTTTTCTCTGTGGATTGAGCTTCCCATCTGCATCCACCAATCTCTTCTTTGCTGATTCAAAAGCACCAAATCGCACCGCCGACTTTGGTATGGAGCCATAGAGCAGAACAGACAAGCCTCTGTACAGGCCAAAAAATCCACGAGTCTTGACAGTCTTAGTCACACAGTCAATTACGCCTGTATATTCCTTTTCAGCACCAGCCTTTCCATCCAGTTGTAGCTGTGTCTTTACATATTCTGTGGGATATGTGATGCAAATTTCTATACCTCCAGTAATGCCACCTGAAAGCCCATTGTATGTTTTTTGTTAAACAAATATATGAATTATTATGCTACTTAACAAATAATGTTTATAATTTTAGAAACAAATATTATATCGTATCAAAGATAAGTTTGGCTCAAATAAGCATAATCATGAGAAGTATTCATCATACAATATGTAGCAGAAAAAATAATATAAAACATCTTTTATACATATATATACATATATGTGAAACAATGCTAGTCACTCTATTATCGTTGCTGCAATTTAAATTCTTGTTTCCACGAGGAAAGATCGCAATGTATGTAAATTCTTAATAGATACAAATCTTAATGTCATCAGTTCATTAACAAATGATTCATATACGCGTCCATAGCGTTGGAAGTTATCGGTGGTGGGGAAGTGAGTGTAATCACGCTTCGCTCACGTCAGCGAGACTTGAAAAACGCGATAGCCTTGCGTGGAGATATACGTAATTTTACGATCTCTCACGTAACTTTTCGTTTTATCGCGCGACCAGAGCGCGCTGACTATGTTAAATCGTATGTACGTTTCTCCACGGTTTTGAACAAACATGTTGCCGTTTACCTCGACAGGTGTCAAAGGTTGTTCATTGCCCGACCAAGAGAGGGGGGGAAAGAGGCGACCCAGAAGAAACAAGGACATCCCATGTTTCTCTCCGGAGAGAGAGAAAGGCGCCTTTCTCTCTAGAAAGAAATATAAATAAATAAATCATCGTACCTGCTATGATCCCTTTAAGCCCCACGCTGCCAGTGGCGACGGCGGCGGCGGCGACGCCGGTCTCGCTCGTCCACGGCCTGCATGGGAACAGCAACGGGCTGTGACACGCGTCCGCTAACGTTGGACGTCGGACCGGTTGCGAATATAGCTGCCACGTCGTTGAATTCATATTCGGCGCCACGGTTCTCGACCTGGACGTCGTCGTCGTCGTCGTCGTGCTCGCGCTGTTTGTCGTCCACCTACACTCCTACCCTCCACGGATACCGGGACCGGACTGCCGATACTCCGATTGACACTCATGTGCGCGCCTGAAGTGCGTAACGCACCGGTTTCCCCCATATTTCCCCCTTCCGACCGGCGCTTCTGGACGACGTCGTTGTTTCGCCTTGCTTCACCTACTTTCCACTTTCCTCGCGTACTCCCACGTACGTAAACAACATGCGTGCATGCAGGACGAAAACTAATAAAGCGGGAGCAATATCTGCTCGTCTCAGCTGCACTTCCGCGGCACTTTCTGCGCGCTTAAAGGATAAAACGCGCATACAGGGTGTCCGGTAAACCGTAAATTGCGCTTAGTGACCACACATGTAGAAAATTCGAGCCCCTCGTTAATCGGCCTTTTCATGTTGATTACCTCGAAGACGGCAATACAAACCGCTGCAAACCCTCTGGGAGGGAGGGGGGCGATTTTCTCTCCGATATTTTGTGCGGTTTTTAGCACAAAAACCAGCTCCCCACGCGAGGAAAATTTAACGTACTTCTCTCCGGAATCGCGCCCTGAATATTTTTCAACAGAAAAGTTTTGAACGACTCTTCAAACGGAGAATTTACAGTGGAAAATGTTAAAGAAATATCTTTTATTTTTTGATAAATATATATTGTAGTTGATGTTTGCAGGATATTTGTATTGCAGCCGACAGATCACTTATAAAAGTCGATATTTGGGCGCACAATCGCTTTTTTCTGTTTAATCGACAGTAAAGTTAACGAGATATTGATACTTCGATGTTGATTTAGATCATTATAAACGCGTGTCACTGACCACTTGTCGTAAGTGCGAATAACTATGCAGTCTTTATCTCATCGTACGATTACAGTCGAATAAACAATCCGTTGTGCCGTAACAATAAATTTTGCAGTAAGATTAATGCAACAAATATTACAGACGAAACTATTCGAAGTATATTACATATTAAATGACGACCGATTTATAATTAGCAATGGCATAATGAGCATAATAAATGTGCGATATGATTGATTTGGATTATTATATTCCTTGTACAAAGTAAACAATTTGGTGTTAAAAACAGCCTACTGAAATTTTGTCACTTTAATACGGGAAAAGTGTACTAAAAAGTACGCAAATATAATGTAAAATTAACATATTTACCTAGTCAACATGTGTTTTCAACACAAAATTTTTACTATGTACTACTGAGGTCGCCTCCTTACATTTGCCGTTATCGGATCCATTTCGTAATATGTATTGATAATTACGCGTTATCGAACGCACAGTGATGTGCGTTAATAGTTCAGTACACTCATTTTTTCAAATTGATAATATTCATGAAACTTTACCGCTTACATAATATAATTCTGTATGCATATTACAATTTTACCGTTGTTACCATTTTACCATTTTTTATCTTATGAACAAAATTAAGTGACAAGCACAATTGTCATCATGAAATCCTCTTGTGGTCAGTGGCGCGATAACACCATCAACGCATATCACTGTGCTATACACACACACACACACACACACACACACACACACACACACACACACACACACACACACACACACACACACACACACACACACACACACACACACACACACACACACACACACACACACACACACACACACACACACACACACACACACACACACACACACACACACACACACACACACACACACACACACACACACACACACACACACACACACACACACACACACACACACACACACACACACACACACACACACACACACACACACACACACACACACACACACACACACACACACACACACACACACACACACACACACACACACACACACACACACACACACACACACACACACACACACACACACACACACACACACACACACACACACACACACACACACACACACACACACACACACACACACACACACACACACACACACACACACACACACACACACACACACACACACACACACACACACACACACACACACACACACACACACACACACACACACACACACACACACACACACACACACACACACACACACACACACACACACACACACACACACACACACACACACACGAGATAGGAAACACCAAGTATTTACTGATCGATAACGTAAAAAGTTGGCTCTTACTTTATATAATGCTGAACACGGCCGAATCCCGAAAAAACGAACTGAACTGTGAACATAAAAGAAAAAATATATTGTAAATTAAAGATTACAAGTGTAAAGTCGCTCGTTGAATTCGCGATAACCCGTGTACGATAAACATGAACAGTAATCGATCATAACGTAATTAACTTTGCTGTTCTATTCGGGTCTATTTGATCTGAAATCATTTTTATTTCCCTGTCACATCTTCACATGGTGAGTGAACGTTCTGGTATCTCATGACTTTGTTTCATAGCTTAGTTTCAATTTAATGTTCTTTAATTATGAGATAAAACCGTGAAATGCCAAAACGTTCACTCAAATCATATAAAAATCTAATAGAGAAATAAAAATGATTTCGGGTCAAATAAATCCGAGCAGAACAGCAGGATTAAATTTTTCCTTTGAATGTAGCCATGTAACTATTATTTTTAAAAATACTTGGTTTCCTATATTTCATATCCTATAATCAAAGATGTATCGAAGTAAAAAAGTGTTTCTTTCTTTCTTTCTTCTTCTTTTTCTTCTCTCTCTCTCTCTCTCTCTTTTTGTTAGTTATATATATATATATATATATAAATCTTATATCATAGAACATATATATACTAAAAATTAAAAGATGTCATCGATTGAAAAACACATTGGATCGTACATAGAGTTACTCTTCTAGTTTTACATATCGAACTGTTGCCTGATTTTATCTACCAGCCAGGAGTTGTGTTCGCTAAACGTCGCATGCGTCTGAAATAAAAAAGAGCGAGAGTAATTAACAGATCGGCTATGTAAGAGAGATTGACAAAAAATGCAGCGTATTCCATACATCTTACCGGGTATTTCGATCTTGATCGCGTATCTTCTTCTCCATTTCCGCGTCCGTCAACGTTTCCAGGAACGGTGCCCATTGATCCGCCTCCGACGGAGGTCTGAAGGGAACTTCTACTGTGGGTAGCGGCGCCTCAGAAAACGCATATGTTCTCTGATGCCACGACAATTGTCCACGTACGCTGCAAATGCACTTGGATCGTATCAAGATACGAAAAGAACCTTAAATATGCCTCAGCATGAGGAAAATGCCTAAATATCTTCTTTCAATGATATGAGAAATGTTTAGAGCACAATTTGAATGGTTTTAAAAAAGGAATGCCGTGGGAGAAAAATTTTTTACGGTCATTTTTTCCATCTTTGTCAAGATCTCCATATTCAGGCCCCCAAGATATTTAGGTATTCTGCGCTTCCCTTTATTTTGGGACACCCTGTATAATAAACTAATAAAATATTCATACGTGCCAGTGTAATTACCATCTAATAGCTCGTTTCTTTAGTAAACTTACCACTTTGCTAATTAAGGCAATAAAAGAAACAACTTGCGTCGCCTTCACGATTATGTGATAATTGTATTTACATACTTTTTGTATGAAGTAACATCATGTGAGACGCAGAGAGACATGTTCGTTGTTTTACCTATAAGCGATGGCAGTGACGAATTCTCCGCCGAGGCCGAGTTCCGCGCAGAGCTTCATCGCGAACTTCTCCGGATTGTTCTCTTTCTCGGACATGTCCCATTCCACTTGGTCCACTAACGACGTGTTACCCACGTGTATGTTTAACTTGATTATTACCCGTTGATCGCACTGATCCTCCAGTATTGTTTCCTGAGGGAATGCTTCTATTTGCTGCCTTATCGCCTGTGCGATCGCAGGAACGAACGTTAATGGATTTAAGTCTAAATCGTCACACAATACTTCGGCAAATTGTTCAGGCGTTATGAGACTCTCTGTAGAAAAAGAAAGATATCTCATTTTATAGCTATAATTTGATAGCCAAAGACTTTTGTTGTCATTTAAGATACAAAGGAATTTACCATTTTTATTCCACGTGAAGGTATCCCTCAATTTCTGGCCTTCAATTTCCATATCTAAACGTATCGGGACAAGCATCTCTTGTTGCGCGGCATTTTCTAAGTTTGCTGATGGATCTGTGTCATCGAAACTGTAACGGATACAAGAATAAAAAATTAGAATTTTAGGTTTATTTATTTATAGGAATAATAAACAAAGATAAGAATAAAGGATAAAGGAGAGATACAGAAGCTTCAAAGGAGGATTCAAAGGATAATGATTTGCTCTATAACTTCGTTCTTACCATAATGGGAAGGTTCTAACTTTCTTATTGTGTACTCTATTGCGATTTATTGGTGTAGCTTGAGGAACTGCATCCAGGTGTGAACTATTTGGCAGACTAGGTACCCAGGCCATAGACTTTTTGGTTTTGCCTTCCCTAGGTGCTGGTGGCTCGGTCGAGTGTACAGACACAGCTTTGTATTTGTCATCATTGCCCTCGATGATATCCTCCACTTCGCTAGCTCTCAAGAGTGAAACGCTGGATGCGAGCACATGCTGACTCAATCCGAGTTCCACGAGCTTCTTGCGTTCATCATTGGTTATGGATCTCCTGAACATGCCAGGATACCGTTTGTAAAGAGAGCCGCGAAACAGACGCAGGTAATTCCCGACCTCCGATCCGATGCAATAGTACTCCCCATTCTCCTCCACTTGGAAACTTATGGGTTTGTCACCGTACGTGCGTAATGCCATTTTTGAGGTTAGTCTCGCTGCAACTTGGAGCAGAGGAGGAGGAAAATCAGTCTGTGGGAATCTGCGACGTTCGCGAAGGTGCGTAAAGGAGAGCTGTGCATCTAAATTGCGACAATCGTAAAAATAAATTGGATGTGTGATAACGTGGCGATAAAGAAGTAGATGAAAACCTATGTGTCATAAAAGATCTGTTATTTCATAACGAGAGTCGCGTCAAGCACCCACAGACGTACTCAACTTTACCTGAGGACCAAAATTATTCATTCACCGGCGTTTGTGAACGCTCATAAAATCTTGTCTGACACACGAGTTTGTTTATATTTTTGAGATCTTTCAACAGTTACGATGGACGCAACAACACTTCACTAGCGACTCCAAACGCGCGCGAACTAACGAGAGATCAGAAAGAAGTTGACGATAACGAAGATTGGATTATTCTTTTATACCTACGGGGATACTCCAATCTCAGCACTGGAAACTTCCAACGGTTGTGAAATAAACGTTCCGAACGCGGCCAATGTTATTTGGTCTGTTCTTTATAGCTGCACTGCTGAACTAGTTCCATAAGTTGAAGTGAGACAAGTACATGTTTTCTCACTTCAACTTATTGCACCAGTTCGGCGGTGTAGCTGTAAAGAACAGATCAATTATCATTCATTGAGTACGTTTAGAAAATACGGTTGTGCAATCGTTGAATGATTATCGCCTTTGGAATTGCTTTCGGAAATACACTCTAAAGTAGAATGGCATTTATTATAATTTATCAAGCATGATAAAGAAATGTTTGTTCTTTTTGTCCTGATTGGTCAATTAAACGCCACTCTACCAATCGAGTGGGGTTTTGGAACGCGCCCTGAACGAATTCATTGGTGAGAACTTCATCTAATGTCTCGTTACCAGAAAACCTATTCTTCTATTGGACGTTGAAACGTCGTGCCGTAATCGTCTATTGCATTATCAAAACAGTGTGAATCCCGCATTATTCCGACATGTGCACCGGGCCTCCGATAACATGCCAAGTGTCATACGCTTCGTGTGATATACACGTATTCGCCTAGTTTGTAGAATATAAGTGTCAGTGGTGGAGGGCGTTTTCGTTTCGGTTTTCGTGGCTGCTGCGGATAACGTTCGATCGGTTTCGGCCGCCGCCCCTTCGCCCCTCGCCGCTCGTTGCAATTAAATAGACAGGTAATTAATAAGCCTCGAACGAGCAGTTGCAGCGGCCGTTCCAGATGCAACCGTTTGAGATGCTCCGTAATGTTTCACACTTTTATTACGTTCTATCGGCGTCTCGCATTCTCGTACCTTCTTATCGCCCCTTCGTGTATGTCCAACGTCTCTCGCGCGTTGTTTCAATCAGCTTCGCGTTAATTATAGCTTGATACTCGAGTCGATATGCAACTTCGTCGGCGAGAGTTAGCGCTACGGCACCATAGATTCTGGACATTGATCCAGTCTCGGTTCACTATATATATATATAGCGGAATCTTATTTAATTTTCCTGCAGACCCTTACGTGCGGGCGCCTCGGAACTATCACCGCCCCTCTCGTACGCGGATTCGTTGATCAATGTGGTTTTCATTTCTGCGAACGTCTCAACTGAATGTTCTGTTTTTTTCACTACTTTGCTAGTGTCAAATACCTTGATGATTGGACTGTATTTAATTTTCAGAATGAAATTGTAACTGTCGATCGTTAATTGTTAAATAAATAGATTTGGTTGAAATTGCTTATAGTTCGATACTATTGAGATTGCAACATTTTTGTTGAAAAAAAAGTAATGTTAGATTGATAGAAGAATCCATGGATGAAAGCAGTGATGGTTCTATGATATATATATATATATATATATATATATATATATATATNATATATATATATGGTCTTATATTGTGAACAAGAAAAATGATGTAATTTTTTATTATGTGTCACTGCAGACAAGATGACTGATTCAAAGTATTTCACCACTACCAAGAAGGGAGAGATATTTGAACTTAAGTCAGAACTGAATAATGAGAAAAAAGAAAAGAAGAAGGAAGCTGTGAAGAAGGTAACGATGGTTTGTCTATGTTGATCTTTAAGTAGTTAAGTTTTCAGGGATAATTATAACTTTTGCATTAATAGTAAGGCTATGATATATTGTAAGAGGTCAGTAATTTCATGCAGCACTTATATTGGTCAAAAAAGGTAATGTATTTGGAATTATCAAGGTAAATTACAAAATCTGTAATGAAAAGATTTGGATCATATGACTTCAAAATCATATCTCTCTGCAATAGTGTTTATTCTATGTGATATTTGCGAACTGTTTGTTGCAATAATTGGTTGAACTAGCAACCTGTAAAAAAAGAAGCTATTAGAATAATTTTTGTGAACCTTCTTATCCCTCAAATCTGGCACATTTCTGTTCTGACTAAAAGTGTATTAAATATGAAAACTTGATTGAGTGTTGTTTGGACTTTTATCGTTTATTTCTGTCACTTTAAAGCAGATTAAAGCAATAACAAAACTCTGTTTAGTGCATTTGTTTAGTGTATTGCATTCTTCCTCATCACGTGTGCTATGTTATGTACCATTCAATAATGCAAATATATCATTAATTGTCTGTTCAGGTCATTGCTTCCATGACAGTGGGAAAAGACGTGTCCGCACTGTTCCCAGATGTAGTGAACTGCATGCAAACCGACAATTTGGAGCTGAAAAAGCTGGTGTACCTATACCTGATGAACTATGCTAAGAGCCAACCAGATATGGCCATCATGGCGGTCAACACGTTCGTCAAGGTAACGTAGCTTAGAAACTCATCATCAATTCGTCATCACTGATTTTATATTATATAACGCACTTTTACCCTCTACGTATATATTTCTTAATGACACTTGGATGATGTTCAGAGTCTGTCTGTAATGAGGCAAGCTGAAAAATTGTCCGTGTCGTCGTTGTTCCCGGTGATTACAGTCGGGTTGTAAATATATCATCCCTCTCCTTATCGGGTATCCTCGCTGTATTCATTTTTACAGCGTGCCTCGCCACTCAGTCTACAGACTGTGCTTTGCAAATTACAGTTTGCACAGAGCTGTCTGCGTTATGGGACGGAATGTACCTTTTCATTCTTTGCGACTGAATTGTTTATTTTTCAAAGGGCACGGGTCTGGACTTTGGTTGCTTCAATTGTATACCTTTGACAATTGACTCTTATGTTATTGTCTGGACAATCGAATTAAAGATACATAGCATTATCAAGAAGTATCTTTTTTCTTCTCACTCCTGTTGTCGTTAGAAAACCAAATTCCAGAAGATGTACTCCGATAGGTATATACTACATTATATCAATAGGAGAATGAATCTGTGTATTCATATATAATAATTAGAGTACCGGGATTGATATGGAATAATTTAAAGTCTCATACATATGTTACTCTCCACACGCTAATGCACTGATACGTCGTCCTGTTTCTCCGAACACGTGAATTTCTTCCGAAAGAGCAGATTTTAATCTACAACAACTCGAAACGTTTTCAGCAGATTGTATATTTATTCTCACGATGCTATATATATATATATATGTCTTTTATATCATGAGTACATATTAAACTGATTATTTTTTTCTCTCTCTGTTAATTCCAGTTGCGATACCGATTGCTCGATTCGAAGAGTTAGATTCAAACGTTAGTTCTTTTTATTCGCAGATCTCTAATGTGCAGCAGCATGAAAAATGTGATTCCTCTTCAATGTTTTATTTCATATATATGACATTGCCTTACAAATTGGTGCTTGTACAAATTGGTGGTCATATTTGCTAATTGCACGCAATTTGTCCTAACTACTCAAAATTTTAGTGTATCTGATGAATGTAATTCGTGTTTACAAAAAACATATAATGCGATTTATCTAAGTATTTGTAAATATGCTCTTTTCTCTCTCTCTCTCTCTCTCTCTCTCTCTCTCTCTCTCTCTCTTTCTCTCCCTTTATGTTGGGCAAAGTATCGTCTAAATTATCTTTATTTGCATGGCGCCAATGTTGGTGTAACACTTTGCGATTTAATGCATCATTTGCAAAATAATACACGAGTAATCATTCATATGTGAAGAAGTAAAACGAACAGAGAAGGATAGGGAGAGAGGAGACTTGCAAAGAATATACCTCGTGCTCTTTAAAAAATAATCAGTTCTTGATTTGCGTTACTTTAAATGGCTGATAAGTATAGTATTTAACACTTTAATCAAAATGGTGACGGTGACCAATTTGACCTTTTTCGTTCTGACACGCAAAAGGAGCTAGCGACATCTCCGATAACAAAGGTACCATACCACTTTCTACTTTGTTAAAATTCATGGGTTGAGATAGATAGCCACTACTGTGACTAGACTTGAATCCCTGGCTTGCCCGATTTTTGCGCAGGACTGCGAGGATCCAAATCCGCTGATTCGTGCGCTAGCAGTTCGTACTATGGGCTGTATACGCGTTGACAAGATAACTGAGTATCTGTGCGAGCCACTGCGGAAGTGCCTGAAGGATGAGGACCCGTATGTACGCAAGACGGCAGCCGTATGCGTCGCTAAGCTTTATGACATAAACGCTGCCTTAGTCGAGGACCAGGGATTTCTGGATCAATTGAAGGATCTCCTGTCCGATAGCAATCCTATGGTACCTATGAACTTTTTTTAGAGTCGCACAAATTTCAAACAACGAGCTGATCATGACGCATTGAGGCCTTAAAAGCCTCCTTTGTTTTTAATACTATGAGAAACATATTTAGAGTGGTGGCACAATTTGAGTGGTTTCGAAAAAAGAATGCTGCGGAAGAACATTTTTTTATAGTCATTTTCGATTGTGCTCTCAAAGTCCCCCCCCCCCCCGAGATATTTAAATATCCTCCTTATGCTGAGACACTATATTAATAAAAAAATATATAAAAATGTTAGTATTTTGTAAAATATTCCCAGATAACATTAAGACGTTGTAAAGACGTCTTTTAGGCATACGTGTTGAGTCAAAGAAAGCATGCGAGTATGCATAAAAGAGTAGATAAAATTTCACTCACAAAGAAGTAGACCGCCATAGCTTGAAGATATCCTTGCGGGCAGTACGATAATGCACGACAATTGTCGCCAGGTTGTCGCAAACGCGGTGGCTGCATTGTCGGAGATCAACGAGGCCAGTCCAAGTGGCCAACCATTGGTGGAGATGAACGCACAGACCATCAACAAATTGCTGACGGCACTCAACGAGTGCACCGAATGGGGTCAGGTTTTCATCCTGGACTCATTGGCAAATTACTCGCCCAAGGACGATCGCGAGGCGCAGAGCATTTGCGAACGGATCACCCCGCGCTTGGCACATGCCAACGCCGCAGTCGTTCTCTCCGCTGTCAAAGTAGGTGTATCATGAATGAGCGAAGGATCTGGAAGACGAAGAATGGTGAAAATGAAAGGCAACGAATTTCTACTGACTTCTCTTCTCCCGGATCCTTCGGATTGACTGTCGAGTTCTCTCTCGGTCTTGTATATGGCGCATTTAAATGCTTTTATATTAACGGCGACTTGCTCATCGTTACTGTAGGTGTTGATGAAACTGATGGAGATGCTCCAGTCTGAATCGGACTTTGTGGGCACGCTTACGAAGAAATTGGCGCCGCCTCTCGTCACACTATTGAGCTCCGAGCCGGAGGTACAGTACGTCGCGTTGAGGAACATCAATCTGATCGTGCAGAAACGACCGGACATTCTGAAGCACGAGATGAAAGTATTCTTCGTCAAATACAACGACCCCATATACGTGAAACTGGAGAAACTAGACATTATGATCCGCTTAGCCTCGCAAGCCAACATCGCGCAAGTTCTCTCGGAGTTGAAGGAATACGCCACGGAGGTCGACGTGGATTTCGTGAGAAAAGCCGTCAGGGCCATCGGCCGCTGCGCCATCAAGGTGGAACCGTCCGCGGAGCGTTGCGTCTCCACGTTGTTGGATCTGATACAAACCAAGGTAACGTCACTCGGGGAAAGTTCAGAAATCACGCGTATGCAGAGTGCTTCTAAGCTAAACACTGTCAAAAACTATAGACGCGCTCTCGGTGACCCGCTTGATCCACCCTGTGTCTCCTTCAGCATTGTCAAACCATCCGCGAGGTAACAATGATCGCGCGATTTTCGCAGGTGAACTATGTCGTCCAAGAAGCAATCGTGGTGATCAAAGACATCTTCCGCAAGTACCCGAACAAGTACGAGAGCATCATCTCCACGTTGTGCGAGAATCTCGACACGCTCGACGAGCCGGAAGCGCGCGCTTCCATGATCTGGATCATCGGGGAATACGCCGAGCGCATCGACAACGCGGACGAGTTGCTGGAGAGTTTCCTGGAGGGATTCCACGACGAGAACACGCAGGTGCAGCTGCAGCTGCTCACGGCGATCGTGAAGCTGTTCCTCAAAAGGCCCACAGACACGCAGGAGTTGGTGCAGCAAGTGCTGAGCTTGGCCACACAGGACTCTGACAATCCCGACCTGCGAGACCGCGGATTCATCTATTGGCGGCTGCTCAGCACCGACCCGGCGGCGGCTAAAGAAGTCGTGCTCGCAGAGAAGCCGTTGATCTCGGAAGAAACAGATCTGCTGGAGCCGACGTTGCTGGACGAGTTGATCTGCCATATCTCGAGTTTGGCGTCCGTGTATCACAAACCCCCCACGGCTTTCGTGGAGGGCCGAGCCGCAGGCGCCAGGAAGTCTTTGCCGGCTAGGAGCAATTCGAACGAGGACTCGGGCCAACGTGCCGCACAACAACCGCATGCACAGGTCATACCCGCCCAGGACTCCCTCATTGGCGATTTACTTAGCATGGATATCGGTGAGTGAGAGGGAACACTAAATAAAACTAATCTTCATTTAGCTCGGATTAAACTGATCGATGTGCAACAACGAGACTCGTTAACACATCAATTTCCAATTTACGTAACTCGTCGTTCGACGATAATCAAATAGTTACAAGACCTAGGAAACCGGAAAGAGTTATGGAAATTTTAAAATTGGCCAGGGAAAACCTCAAGGAAAGGTCAAGGAAAAATATCGAAGAGCATGGAATGTCCTTTGGACTTTGCTCACAGTTCCCTTAAATGCCCTTATTCTAAAGAGTACTTTCTTTCCCCGCTGCGTAGGAATCGCGAGTACTTATGGTTTCTTTTTGTTTCAGTGTCCTGGTCGCAAGAGAATTTCAATTAAATCGATGAAATGTGTCATCTGTACATTCCAGGTGGACCGACGATAGTCCAACCGGCGCCCCCGCCTCAGTCCGCAGGGTTGGGACTTGACCTTCTGGGCGGCGGTTTGGATGGAATTTTGAGCAACACCGACAACACGAGTGCAGCACCGGTCGTTTCCCAGAGTACGACGGGTCTGCTCGGCGACATATTTGGCTTCAGTCAAGGTCCCACGGCTTATATACCTCCCAAGGTCAATTGGCTACCAGCCGAAAAAGGCAAAGGCTTCGACATCTGGGGCACATTTACAAGAAAGTAATTAATACAGAGCACTACGCAAGAGTATATATATGACGTGTCTGTAACTCAAAAGAAAAAACGGACCAATGTCCGTTTTTTCCATAACGTAAATGTCAATAGGTCTGTTTTCTGTTTCTGAACTAGGTTGCACTTTTTATCATTAGAGACAAGCGTAACTTCACATTGAAGGAAAAAGGAACGAAGTTCAAATGCAGCCTTAATTCAGAAACAGATAATAAATCTAATATATCGTTTGGTGTTATAAAGAACGCGCGTTTTCCGCTTTGAAAATGATTACATCATGAAGTCACGTCTCTTGTCGACAACAGGAACGGACAAATCAGCATGGACATGACTTTCACGAACAAAGCGATGCAGCCGATGGGAGGCTTCGCGATACAGCTCAACAAAAACAGCTTCGGACTGACGCCCGCGTCCCCGTTGCAAGTACCAGCTCCTTTGAGTCCTGGCGCCAGTATAGAAACGAATGTTGTATTATCCACCGCGGGTGCGGTGCAGCGTATGGAGCCTTTGAACAATCTCCAGGTCGCGATCAAGAATAACATCGATGTTTTCTACTTCGCCTGCATCGTGCCGATGAACGTATACTTCACCGAGGACGGACAGCTGGATAAGAGGGTATTCCTTTCGACCTGGAAGGATATACCCGCACAGAACGAGGTACTGTTCTCCAGGTTTTCTCTCTCCTTTTCTATTATTAATCGACGGACTAATTAGAACTCGACGATCAACATTTTCCCTTAAAGGTGCAATATACGTTAAACGGAGTGATGCTGACCGCCGACCAAGTTGTGCAAAAAATGCAACAGAATAACGTCTTCACTATCGCCAAGAGGAACGTGGAGGGGCAGGATATGCTTTATCAATCGCTTAAACTGACAAACAACGTCTGGGTGCTGAATGAGCTGAAAATCCAACCGGGCAATCCCGATGTCACAGTACGTTTCCAATGCTTATTCTTCGTATTATGACGTATTTTTATCTTAGAGGCTTCGTCTCTCGTGTTATAATTCTTCTCCTCTTCTCGTTGCAGTTATCCTTGAAATCTCGGTCCGTAGAAGTCGCCCCTGGAGTATTCCAAGCGTACAATGCGATTTTGCATTCTTAAGTTTTTCGTTTCCTTAATAATTAGGATATTGCGGATTATAAAAGACATTATATAAGTGAGCATGTGCAACAGCCTATTTATAGAAACTATCTATGTTACATCCATATTGTGCATGAGACTCAAATATATCTTGGAAATCAATACCATAGATCTCTGTTACGGATTACCGAATTTATTATAAAACAAAAGAAATCACGGACGTGTATGGAAATAAAAATTTATGATCACTTGTACGGTTTTATTTGCATGTTTTTTTTTTTTAATCTCCTAAAAGCAAAAGAGATTTTTATATTTATCTTTACAGAATATGTATGCTCTTACATACATATACAAATGTATCGTTGTCTAAACATTAATATAAACTTATTCTTGTTAGGTACAATAATTTTTTCTAACAAAAACTTTGTAATACATTAAAAATTCTGGAAATTTGATTTGAAGCCTTACTAAAATTACTTAGTTCTACATAAGGAAAACTTTTTAACCAATATACTGCTTACTTAAGAATTATGTAGAAATGTACATAAAATTTGAAAAAAGTTTAGAGAAAATATCTATCGTCAATTCTCTCGAAATTTTTCACAACGTAATTCCACGTAGGATATACAGTAGGTAGGTCACATATAAATAGCTAAATGATACTGTAAAATGTACGACATAATAGTTTTATTTATATAAAGTGAGGTGTACAACGAGCGAAATTAACATTGCACCTTTCTTCTAAAGGAGCAGCCTTCCGTTAGCCTTGCTTTACCGCCTGTTGGTGTACACAGTATCGTTCTGCATCCATCACATTCCACTGGCCTCTGCGCGTGTGAAAAGATGGTTTTTATGGCATAGCACCCGGGGCACTTGACATCCATAAAGTAACTATTTGGCTTTTGCACGAGCCTCTTCAGCTTGTGCTTCCTCTTCTCCTCGATCGGACTGGGGTGCAAAAAGTCCCTTGCAAGTGGCATTCTGCAAAATAAATTACTCTTAAAAATGACGCTTAAAGCATCTTCATAAGCTACATCCGATAAAAGAAACTTTCATATATGCGATTGTAGAGTGAAGTTCGATAAAATGAAAATCAACACATATGCAACATTATGCAATTATGCAGCATAGCGTTGATACTTAAGTACTGTTAAAAAAAAAAGAAAGAGAGAGAGAATAAGATACCTCAAGTAGCGTAATTTTTCAGTTCGTTAGGCGAACTTTATTGGTGCGAATAGCGAGACAACGGAGGAAAAATTGTTGGGAGACGAGCCGTGAGTACCGTGTACTCTCGATGCATTCTCGAAATACGATGGGTGATATCGCGACCGAAGCCATGGCATGCCGCTCAGATGTGCGCACATATCGTCTACCTCCGGTCGAATTAATGTTGGCTTTTTGCAGACAAACGAAAGCCGCGTGATAGCGAACGGATTGACGGGAATACTTACGTGACTCGCCGAATATTTCGCCTTAAATTCGATAATTGCGTTCGTAACCACGTGTTTCACGGTGCAAGCGACACAACGTTACAAACTGGAAAGGAAACAGCAGCCGATCTGACGTGATATTTAAGTCCCTAGGATCTCGTCAGAACTGCCAACTGCTTCACTATGTGGCGGTCGAGTCTCGTCCGCCGCCACCGGCGGCGCAACCGCCCAAAGCGGCCTCACGTTTGAGGAAGCAAGTTCTGCAACCGCGCCCGGTCTTTTGACCGGCTTCTGCGCCACCCCGCTTCGCGCGCACCGCCGGAATCACGAGGTGGTCACGCGACCCCGCCGGCCAATCACGTGTTCTGTGGCGCGATCGTGTTTTGTTTCGAAACGTCCCGGCGATCGTGCCAGGACCCTGACTCGCTCTCTTCCTTCTCGGACTCCGGACAACACGGATGTGCTCATGAGTGTTCCCTAGTTGTTCACCCTTGTGCGTTCCGTTTTCGACATTACGAACCAACGCGTATCAGTGCCTGTGTTCCGGCCCTCGCGACACCGCTCGCCGCCAATCGCCGTCGCGACGCCTTGAGCTTGCGTCTCGTATCTCTCCCCGCGTGAGAGAAGGAGCCGGCTCCACGTCCTAGCGAGCCGAGCTCATATTGTAAATAGCGTTCCGATTTCTGTGTCCCACGCTGCGGTCATTTTTGTTCTCTCACGACCATTTCGTTGCGCGTCGCACCCATTTCGTTTTGCGTTGCGGCCATTTTGTTCTCTTGCGAGCACAGTGTTTTGCGTCGCGCCCATTTCGTGCCGCGTCGCGACCATTTTGTTCTACGCCGCTTTCCTTAGCTTTTAGCTCATCGTTTTCCTTTATTACGTTTGCGAGTTTGTACTTAGCCAGAAAATACAGCTGCGTGTGAGCAGTCATAAGGACTCCGCTTTATTAGCGCACATCCACAGGGCTACCCGTACTCGAGACCTTCCTCTCCTTCTGCACGCGCGGTGGCCATAGGCTATCCTGCCCTCCACAACTATATATAGTTGGAAATCTCCCTCCGCGTAATACGACTCAACGTCAGGATCGATAAGTTTTACTTCCGAGTAATGTGACACAATAGCTGAGGTGACCTTTTTTGATTTGTAAATTTTGCTTCAACGTCTGAAAGAATTTTTTTGATCAGAGAAGAAATTACAGCACTTTCTTTTCGGTGAGCTTCGAAACACGTTTCGTACATGTTCTGTGCAAGTTTATTTAAATTGAATCCCTTCAGAATTGCCTGTTTCCTATTTTATAATTACGCATAATTAATGTACAATATAAATTTTCAGTACGTATTTTCGAAATAAATTTTATCTGTAAATAGAAGTGTTAATTTGTCTCAGGATGTCGCAGAAAAAAAGAGTACTTATGATTTGTTTAGGTAAAGATGTTATACAATAAGTAAACATAAAATTAAAAATAAAGTTATAATGAAAATGTGCTGTTGTAAATATTAATTACTCGTGCATCTGATTTGCAGGCAATATTTGTCGATCGCCAATAGCAGAGGCTGTATTCGACAGCGAAATAGGCAAGAGAGGCTTGAGAAATCATTGGGAAGTTGAAAGTGCTGCGCTAATAGGATATCATACTGGTAAAAAGCCAGATCATAGAGCTCTGAGTACTTTAAAGGAAAACGGAATCACTAATTATTCTCACAGAGCACGTCCAGTAAGCTGCTTAGCTACAATCATATAAATGTTTTAATTATGTGAATTATTAATTGTTATAAGTTGTTGAAAATACAGGATATTCCACGAGTAAGCTGACTAATTTCTAGAATATGTTTTAGAGGCTACTCTAAGCAAAAAATTCAGATACATTATAAGATAATTTGGTTTCATTGTTGACCTGTCAACAGTTAATTGATAGAAGTTTAAAAAAGTAAATTGAAAGATTCTATGGTACAATGAATAGCAGTATGTTTGAAGACAAAAAATGAACATCTTGAAGTAATACGATAAGAAGAACAATATTCATTTGATAGCAGTTAATAACACATTCTAGAAGTTTGTCGATTTTCTCATGGGACATCCTGTATTTATATTTATTGTCTACTTATATGCAGATTAAACAAAATGATTTTGAAAATTTTGATTGGATATTTGGCATGGATAATGACAACATGATAGAATTAAATAATTTGAAGCCAAGAGCATGTCGAGCAAAAGTAGAGCTCTTAGGAAGTTATGATCCAAGTGGAGAAGTTATAATACGAGACCCCTATTATGTACGTGTAACTTCTAAATATGCATAGAGTTAAACAAAATAAAAATATTATATCATCGTTATCTTGACACAGGACAGTGGTAATACAGGATTTCAGAAAGCCTATGAACAGTGTCTAAGGAGTGTAACAGCATTTTTGAATAAACATGCTAATTAATCCATGTAATCAAAGTATCGGTTTAACAGGATCCTTAATGAATTCCTCTCTAAAAAAATCATGTTAAGTAGAAATTAACAAAGCTCCTAGTCCTTCGCTACAACCATCTTTATTCAATAAATAAAAGGAAAATTCCAACAATTTTGCAAGTATACTAAATCACAAGTGTCATTTTTTCGATATATTTTTTTATATGAATGTATAATTCTTAGTATGTATTTTCCCTGCGTTTCTGACGTCATTAAACCATTATTATTATTGACAGTCGTAGCAAGTAGTCAGGAGTTTTAATATAAAAAACAATTTATTATTATTATGTAATTTGTTTTAAGGTAATAGTGCATAATGTAAAATTGTAAATTGTACCATAGATGAGAATCTGTGTTATGACAAAATGTTTCAAAATCTTGTACATTCAATACACGATTTTGTGACTGCATATTATATGTATACAATATACACAATCGTTATATATTTAATATACTGTTACGCTCGCGCGGGGAAATAAAACGAGACAACGTTGAAAAGAAAACAACTTCAACTATATTTACTATTTACAAGGAAGCACACGTAACTCGCAGGCTCAAGCTCTCTCTTTTGTTAAAGACCGTCGCGCACGTCACGACGACTCAACCGCCCCAAAGAGAATCTCTCTAACCCGTTGTTGATCCGTCAACGCTGATCATCTGTTGTTTACGACTCGTTGCCAAGAGAATCAGCTGTACCATAAGTAGAAGTATGAAACCGGAATTTCCCTATAGATGGTGCTAGCCATCAGTTTAGGGACCGTAAGACCGCTTCTGCAGCGCCATCATCTCCTTCTAATAGCTAACGAAGATTTTCAACACACAACAACCCAAGTTCCATACACCGGTATATTTTTCTATAACCTTAAACATGTCGAGTTTTGTGCCTACTAACTACGATTTGCGGACAGCATTGGTTTTTCGTTATCATTTGAAGAAAACTGCTGCGCATCGAATGCTTGTCGAAGCTTACGGTGAACATGCTCTTGGTAAAACACAGTGTTTCGAGTGGTTCAAACAATTCAAAAGTGGTGATTTTGACGTGAGAAACGAAGAGCGTGGGAAACCACCGAAAAAGTTCGCAGACAACGAATTGCAAGCTTTATTGGATGAAGATGATACTCAAACTCAAGAAGAACTCGCGGATGAATTGAATGTGACGCAGAAAGCAGTCCCAATTCGTTTGAAAGCCATGGGAAAGATTCAGAAAGTGGAAAAATGGGTTCCGCGTGAAAATCGAAAAACCACTTGTGAAATGCTGCTCGACAGATACAAAAGAAAGTCATTTCTCCATTGTATCATGACAGGTGATAAAAAATGGATATATTTTGAGAATCCTAAGCGCCAGAAATCATGGGTGAATCCAGGCGAACCATCGACATCCACTGCAATCGCTTTGGAAAGAAGACAATGCTCTGTGTTTGGTGGGATCAGAAGGGTGTAATCTATTATGAGCTGCTAAAACCTGGTGAAACCGTTAACACTGATCGCTACCAACAGCAAATGATCGATTTAAATCGAGCATTGCGTGAAAAACGACCGGAATATGGAAAAAGGCAACACAAAGTCATTTTGCTCCGTGATAATGTCCCATCACACACAGCAAAACGGGTCACGGAAACGATCGAGGCGTTCAGTTGGGAAATACTAACGCATGCGGCTTATTCTCCAGACTTGGCTCCGTCTGATTATCATCTATTCGCATCAATGGGACACGCTCTCGCTGAACAACGCTTCAATTCATATGAAAATGTACGAAAATGGCTCGATAGCTGGTTCGCTTCAAAAGAAGAAATGTTTTTTTGGCGTAGCATTTATAAACTGCCGGAGAGGTGGGAAAAATGTATAAATAGCAATTGACATTATTTTGAATAAAATATTTTTTATCATTTTCAAACAACAGACGTGTAATTTTTACAAAAATATTCCGGTTTCATACTTCTATACCTGGTATGTTCAGGGTGCTAAAAGCGCGGGTATCAAGACACGGGCGTAACACACTTCCTTTTCCTAAAACAATTTTTCCTTTCTTTACAAACACTAATAAAGTTTAATTTGTAAATAGAGGGTTTTTAAAGTTAATATTAATATCCTACTTCGATAACTTTCAATTGCTTGGCATTTTGAAGTAAAAAAAATAAGAGAATTTTATTATTGACTGAATCGATAAAATTGTTAATTGTTTTGTAAGGAATGAAGAAGCCTGTTACAAATTGCAATATTATATTTCATCATATATATTTACAGATATCAGCACCAGTTTTTGACAAATATATTGAAAAGTTTTTCCTACCAACTTTGCCGTAGACAGCCCTAAGCTTGGCTGAAAAAGGACGATTGGTGCGGTCCCGCACCGTAAAAACACAAGAGAAGAAAAGCCCAACACCTGTGCTTTCTGCGAGGATAGGCACAATCAGGAGGCAGCCTCTCCATCATGCTAGGATGTTGCAATGCTAACTAGATGATCTAATCCCCTCCACATCCGAGATTCTTTTGATTAAACATAAAAAGAAAAAAGGATAAGGAAAAAAATAAAGAAAATTCCACACTGCAAGGTGGAAGAGGATCGACTAAGTAAAGTTTTTCCTACCAATTTATAGACATTAGAGCTTCCAATTGTTTAAAGAAATCAACATGGCACAGAAGAAGAAAGTCCTCATGGTTTGCCTAGGTATTTTAATTTAGCAACTGTTAATTGTAATTTGTTAGGCTAAATTTCTTAAATTCTCAAGTTTTTGTTTCTAGCGAAAAGCATGAAAATTATTATCTGAAAACTTTTCCTCATTTGAAACGAAAAGAGGCGTTTGAAACAAGAAGTCACCATAATACAGAAAATCAAAAATAATTATTCAATTTTTCACTTTGAAAGATTAGAAAATTCAGAATATTTTAAGATTATAGATGACTCTATTTTTAATTGTTATATAATTGTTATATAATGTTTAATTGTTATATAATTGTTATATAATGAAGCAGATATATAGAATTTATAGAATCGTAATATGTTAAAATTCCCGTCTAAGACATCCATCTTTTTTATGATATTTTACTTATTTTATTTATTAGTAGTTTTACTAATTAGCAGTTTGTTGAATTTCGAACAAAATTAAAAGATTAATAATAGCATGTTTTAGAAGAAGCATATTCTTCCACACAATAATGATATTTTCAAAGTAAAATCATATTCTTCTGCGCAGGAAACAGCTGCCGTTCTCCTATGGCAGAAGCGGTGTTTCAAGACGAAATGCGAAAAATGGATTTGTCCGATTTCTGGGAAGTCGACAGTGCCGCTATTTTGTCATATCACGTAGGCAATGGTCCTGAGCCTAGAGCGGTGTCTACTCTCTTGAAGGCCGGGATTACAAATTACTCTCACGTCGCGAGACAAGTAAATATATATATATATATATATGTATATACAATCTTCGATTCTTTTCGACGCTTATCAATCTCATATAATTCTTTGTCAAACTAAATTCATTTAATTACAATAATCATTACTGATTATTTCAGATTACAGCAAGCGATTTCTACAAATTCGATTGGATATTCGGAATGGACGAATATATTATTCAGAGGCTGTATCAAATGCAACAGAAAAACAGCCAAGCGACGATTGAACTACTTGGGAAATATGATCCAGCTGGAGTAGTCAACATAAGAGATCCTCTCTTTGTACGCCTCGCACAGGATACCACATGAAAAGCGGCACTCTTATTTTTGACGAGAGGCATTCGGTGTAAAATTAATTAATAACTTCATCTTTTTTTTAATAACAGGATGATGATAGTGCGGGATTCGAGAGAGCATTTCAACAGGCTCTAAGAAGCGTGCGCACGTTTCTGGAGATGACTAAGGTATTTTCTTTTGTCAGAATATCGATACATTTTAGATACCGACTAAAATGTACGTGTTTTACTTATTTACAGAACAATACAGGGGAAGAATCAAAATAAAAATCTCATTCCACTCTTCGTCGAAAGCGTTTACGAAGCTTATCTTATTGCAGTTACATTCGCTGTTTCCAAAAATGTAACTTATAAAATCATTTAAAGTGTACAAAAGTGGAAAACTCATTTGACCTTCCTACCACTTATATATACCGACACTATATTGCGATCATCGCCGGAATATATTAATCTTTGGAGCTTCTCCTCAAGTGTATATCCGGTGTCCTTTAAATCGTCCAACACGCTGCCATCTGCGTTTAAGTCGATGACGAGAGCGTCAAATTCCTTGCCTGGCAGCAGATTGCCAACTTTATCACCGATTGAGAGCGCTAAAAATACAACATGATCGTTTGTAAAAGAAGACCATACGACGGGCGACATCAAAGCTTACCATTAGCACCTCCTAAAGTCGCCATATGAAAGACATCTTTGTAACTGAGCGGTGTATAATTATCCTTCAACATGGACAGCTGGTATGACACTTGTAAAGCCGACCTCATCGCCTCTAACATGCTGAAACTCGATGCACCTGAAACATCTGAGAGAACGTCTGCTACTTTAATACAACGAATATTATTATAACGAATTAATATTATCAAGTTTGCATGTAGACATCATTGTCTAAAACGTTCTGTAATCGTAATTTGTCGGCACCTGTTCCGAGGCCGACTTTAATATTTTTAGCTCTGAGCCTCTGCACATCGCAGATACCGCTTCTCAGGGACGTGTTAGAAGATGGACAGTGGATTATAGCCGTTTCACGTGTTGCAAGCAAAGTGAGCTCAGTGTCCGTAAGGTAAACTCCGTGCGCCAATACCGTCTACAAAGAAAACATCAGGCACGTATTACATGTATGTGTGTGAAAAGTAGAGAAACAATGGTGAGAGAACTGGTTTTTCGTATTCTTCAATCTATGTAATATTTAATAAATGAGTAAAATGTATACCTTAGGCGTAAGAAGACCAGCGGCATCATAAATGGCAGCATACGAGGATTGTTGTTGGAAAGCCTCCATCACCGCTTCTATCTCGGCTATATTTTCGGAAACATGAGTCTGCGAAAGAAAACGAAAGACACGTCGTGCAGTGTAATCTGTCTCGAATCGATGCTCGCGAGTGTGATCGCGAAATACCTGTACGTGCAGATCCATTTCTCGGGCCATCTTCCCCAACGCCTGCATCAATTCCATATCGCAGCTTAGCGCGAATCTCGGCGTGATGATCGGCTTTACGAGTGGACTCTGCGCGAAATCGTTAATTACGTTAATTGAAATTTCAATTTTGATATTTCTATTATTTAACATAACATCTGAATTAATTAACGTATGTTCGATTTGTGCCATTTCCGAGCAACAAAATGTGAACTCACCTCCAACTGTTGAATCTCTTTCACGAAACGTTCGGTGTTTCCGATCGACGCTTCGGTGGTTTCGTAATATCCATCGTCGCGCGGCTGGTTCATGTTTACCTTTCCGACGAAAGCTCGTTGACCGAACTGCACAGCTTTTTGCGCAAGGATCGTGCACGCCTCGGCGTACAAGGATGCAAAGTAGCACGCTGTCGTTGTGCCCGTTCTGATGGTCTGTTTCTGCAATGTGATTCCTATGTGTAAGACTGAGAGATATTTCTTTTCATCTCTGCCTGCTAAAAATCTTACCACAGCCGCTTCGAAAACTCGTGTTGCAAGATTGACGTCAGTGTAGCTCCTCTCCAACGGGAAGGTGTAGGTCTCCAGCCAGTCCAGGAGACTTTTGTCGTAGCCTATCCCGAGATTTGGTAACTGGACCGCGTGGGTGTGAGCGTCGATGAATCCAGGTATAAGAAATTGCCCATTGTCCAAGGTAAAGACTTCATCGCAACTCCCCGCTGCTGACGCGTCAGCGCCTGACAAGACGGCGTTAATCTGCAACGTTGCAAAAAAAAAAGAAAAAAATGACATTGTGCTCTTTTTTTCAGAATGTGACGTTATTTTTTTTCTTTTCAATAATTATATTGCATAAAGCAATAAATTGCAAAAAATCACAGATATGGAACACATCAAGTACATACCTTGCCATCCTCGACTATTACAACACCGAGCTGAATAATAATCAGTGTTCCGTTGTCATCCGTGTGAATCAGCGGGCCAACGAAAGCTTGTCGGACCATCGCGCAGTATCTTCTGAACAGACGCCGCTGGAACGACAAATTTCACGGTATATTGCTGACTTCGGCAAGTAGCTCTGCAACTTATGTAAGCTTCGAGAACGTTTAACATAGAACGTTTACCCGTAAGTGGACGCGTGCTGATCAAATTGACCGATAAGCGGATGAACGAATGAATATTTCTCCGTTTCGTTTTCGTCATTGGCGTTCTGAACAACTTGCCTCCACCACTTACTCTTGGAATTAGCGAAGTATCATTAATAAGTAGTGTTAACACTCGAGAATCTCAGCTGTAAACAGCAGTTGTTTTATTCCTCGAAAGATGGTACACGCCCACTTACGGGTTAAATCTTATTTCTTAATGGCTTTTTTTAACTTATTTCTAACGTTTATCTCTTTTTTAACGATAAGACTTTATTTTTTAATGACAAAAATCGCCAATTTCTCACTTCAGGCCCCGATGATTCTCGCTACGTCCGTGAATGCAATATTGCCTGGCAACCGTTCCATCACGCAAATTATCGCCGATAGATTTTCGCTGTTCAGCTCGGAAACTTTCAATACTTGTCGTTACCGCTTCGTTAAGACACTCGTTATCACGTTGTTCTCGACATGCCGAACAAGAAAGAGCAAAAAATGGAAAAAACGAAGAAAGCGGACAAGCCACCGGTGGACCCTCATCGCGAATTTCTGGACATGGACACGGATGAGGAGGATTTTGGTCGACAAGGTCTCTTCTTATAGCTTGTCTGATTAATTAATTACGAAAGAAAAAAAAATAATTGCGTGCGATATCGTGCACGATGTTTTAGAAAGTCCTGAAACCGAGGAAGAACTTCCTTCCGAACCGATCAAGCCAATTTACAGCGAACAGGATTTAAACAAGCTGGTCGGTAATGTGCAAATTTATTCAGACGTTTTCCTATGCTTTTTACAAGGTCCGAGTATCATTTAAGTCATATTTTTCCAGTAACGCGAAGAACCATAGAAATTTCTGATGGAAAACCTAATTTTGTAACACGTGATATTTTCTGTATTCTCTAATTTTTTACTTCAACTTCATTTCTATTTTTTTTATCCTCTTATGATTTTTTTTTAACTAATAGCGAAATCTTTTTTTGACAGACGTCATCCTACTATATTATTCATCGCAAATTTCAGACTAACTGGTGTGCAAATTTTATATATTCTAGAAGTTGAAATATATCCTCTTGCTTGTCATTTTTGCTATGCTTATAGATAAGGCTCACTAAAATGTGGTCTTGGAGGTTATGGTGAATATTAACACTTTACCGACCGCTAGCCTATTAATCGGCTTTTTGTCGCCAACGCCTACCGACCGATAGCCTATTAATCGGCTTTTTGTCATCATTTGTCAGAAATCATCAAATTTTTTTGAAAGTATGCAATAATGGCAAAAGAAACTTCAATATGATCTCAACTATACATTCTGCACAATTAACGGAATCCAGAAACAGAAGTAAAAGAACAAACGGTCTCATACAGAAGCCTAATTCAAACGTAAATTATAACAAATATATGAAGAGCGTAGATCGCGCGGACCAATATCTATCGTATTATTCTATTTTTAGAAAAACAAAAAAATGGGCTAAACGAGTTGTAATGTTTTTTTATCAACTGTGCAGATTTCAATTCATTTAAAGCATACACAGTTCTCAACAGAAAAAATATTACGTACAAGAATTTCCTGCACAAAGTGGCAGTTTCGTGGATAGAAGATTGTGAAACTAATTGTACAGAACAAGATGACGATCTACCTAATTCTGAACCCACAAGAAGAACACCCAGATTAGACCATCCCGGAAGACTGTTGAATTTCGGAAAACATAAACTTATAAATATAATTACCAGCGGTCGAACTGTAAAACCCCAAAGACAATGTAGAATTTGTGCAGTTAAAAAAAACGAAGTAGAGCATGTTTTGTCTGTAAATTTTGCAATGTTCCACTACACAAAGGCGACTGTTTTGAACGATATCATACTTGAAAAAAATATTAAACTATTTTTTATTTGAAGTATGTCAATATATGGATTATGGTATATTATATAACTATTTAACTGAAAACCGTTATAATAGATAAAATAAATATAATTTAACATTAATATTATCAAAATAAAAGAACTTATTAAATCTAATTATCCTATAATAACAGAAAGCGGGCAATTTTATCTGAGCATACGAACAGCACAGATACTCCCGCGCGAGTCTAAACCGAAACAGAGCCGGCGCCAGGGAGGATCTGCGGCCGGTCGGACATGCTGTTGAACCGCTAGCGGTCGGTAAAGTGTTAATATCGAACTTTCACCTAAAAGTGCGGTTTTTCGTCGCGATAATGCTTACCTGTGCAAATGCTGACACTCTTATCAAATTTTAAATGCCGTAGATTAAATATATTCTCGTCTTTATAAAATTCTTCCTCGAATTCTACAAAATAAAAGAATTTAATTTATACGGCAAGAGAGAATTCGATTTTCGATTTGAAAATTTGAACGCAACACACATGTAACGTACGTACATGTGTGCCCAACAAGTTAACGAATTTCGGTATCGCACACGGATATTATTACGCACGTACCTTCATCGAATGATATTGCGCTGGAGTGTAGAGATATAAAATGAACCTTATGTAAGGCAATCGCTCATTGTATGTGTGTCGAGATAAAGATACGTTATAGATAGCCTGTCAATGTATCTCTAAAAATAGAAATATAGCAATTCTTAGAAATCCTCTTTCAAATAATATAAAAAAAACCTAATTTTAATTTTCTTTTATTATTTTAAATATTTAAATATTAATTATTAAATTTAAAAAACTTAATAAAAATACTAATAAAAATATTAATACTTAATAAAAATATTAATAATGTTATTTATTATAATATTGCATATATATAATTTTTTTATATTTTAAATACTTAGACGATTATGCCTAAAGTAAAAGTTTTCTCAAAGATTTTAGTTATTTTGCAGGTAGAATATGTGAAAAATCTCACGGTGCTTCCTTCTATCAAGGATTCCGATTGGAGCCAAAACTGTGACACGGTTATTCGCGAATACTTTGAAAATCCAGCTCACGCTTTACTGAGCGTATATTTCGACACTTCGGAATGCGCGTTAAGGGTGCAATTAAGCGTGCCCGAAGAGAGCCACGGCGGCTTTGTGTATTTCCTACGAACACCCTGGCACGTATTCACCGTTGAAAATTTTCACGCCACCGTAGTGTTCGGCAGCATCAATCGGCACGCTATGATGTGCGTGCTAAAAGCGATGGAGAACATGTACGTGCCCGTAGCATTGAACAGCAGTGAATGGCCGGAAAGTATCCTTTTCCTTTCTAAATCGATTGTCTCAATCGCCGAGCTTGAAAACAATAACACACTTCCGGTTTCTATAACTAAAGATATTATATTCTTTACTATATAATTATAATTATAATTAGAAAGAGCTAAGAACGAAACTTTAGATACCGCATGTTCAAGGATATTAGGATTACAATTCTGAAAGCTGAGAAAAACCGGGGTTTTTTCCAACTTCTTCGCAAATTTCTCCAGCTTCCCCAAGGGTAGAAAAATTCAAATGTGTTCGGTTAAAATCTGTCACATTTGCTTTTTGCCGTAAAAGAAATAAGAAATTAAGAAAAATCAACGGGAAAATGAAAGAAGAAACCGATTTTTTTTCCGAGTCTTCGAAACTACAATTAGAACAGAACTGATCGTCGAACGAACCAAAATGGAGGAATTTCTTTAACGGAGGGACAGTCATTAGAAATAATCTGTTCCGCAATCTGCACAATTTTCTGATGTGCTTGACCGAGCGAGTTTACAAGCCGATGGGATTGACCAAGTTATATATACCGAGGGAGAAACTGCCTGAAGTCGCAACATCGTCGGTAGATGAAAAAGCGGGCTCGCCCGAAGAAAGTAGACAACGCGTTTCCGAGGAGTTGAGCGAGTCGAAGAAGGCAATAATAGAAAGACTCGAAGGGATCGTACGATGTTGGATCAGACAGATCCGCGAGGTACTGGCGAGCACGTCCACGAACGAAAACAGGCAGACCGTGTTCGACGAGTTGCAATATTGGACGGCGATATGTTAGTTTAAATATTGTTCAATCTCGAATATCAAAACTGTAAACAATCGTCATGCGATTATTGCACAGTTCCGTTTCGGCCCGATAAGGACGCTGACCTTTTGATCCGGTTTCTCCGAATATCGTTATGGTACAAGATCTTTCACGGAGGTAAAACACTTTCTCCAAACCGCGGATAAGAAGCCGAGCGGAAAAGAACGGCGATTGTCTCCGTGGTTTTTAATGTCGAGTACATTTCACTTAAACAGAACTTTAATTCTGATTTTCACCTTTAATTATCGATATATTTTTAAATTTGCATATTTTAGAAAGATAAAAGCAACAGAAGCTGTAATACGACCGCTAGAAATTCTTTTGATTTCTGATTTTTATAAAAAGAAATCCAATTAGAAGCTTAGTTACCAAAATATATAATTTCGAAAATTGCCAAACGACGTGTCTCTCTCTCTACTTAAATTTTCTCAATGAAAACGTCGGCTGTAAACTCAATGAAGCCTAAATTAAATTGGGAGAAAGCATCATGTCTCTTTGCTATTTCCTCACATATTAATTTCGCGCTTTTGCGTAAACTAAATGGATACGAGTAAAACGTAATAAGCACCGTGCTGCTGACAACTCATAAAACGCCTCTTTTGCAGATTTCGATCTGTGCTGTTTGCACGATCAGCTCTCGCACGAAGAAACTCAAACGATACTGCGCCTGCTGGAGAACGTTCGTTCCCCGAGCGTGGATTCCTTTCATCACTTGACCGTACAGCTTCACGAAGGACTAGAACAAGCAGCGTCCAATGTGACGTATCTAAAAGTCTTATCGGATGCCTGTAACGATCTCAAGTGTCCGGACGAAGTCGAAGAACCCGTGACGAAAGTTATGCTCCTGATATTATTCATTTGGACGGAATCGTCGTTCTATAACACGTCGTACGGTTCTTTCACTTTGCCAAAGCCCGCTAACTTTGCTCCTCGAAAGGTCAACCCGATTGGATTTCTCCCTTGGTCTTTCGATCAGATCAAATTTCTCTCGCTGGCCTTTCGAAATCTTTCGGGAAAGGATTACAGCCGGAAAGTGTCACCGGTAGGTCTTGATTGATAAGATTGTTTTTACTCTTTAGAAACAACATTGAGGTACTTTGCCGAGCCGTGAGTGCTCAGGTGGTGCAGCAATGCAAAGAATACGTCGACTTACAAGCGTTATTAGAGGGTGCCGCGGAAAATGGAACAAGCGTACTTCGGAAGTGCATATCTTGCTGCCGCACGTACAGAACCGTATACGATAAGGTGCAACTTCAGCCTGTTGATCGTCGAGCTCAGTAAGTTTCCTCAGACTTCCCGTCCATTGCTAATTTCTCGACGATGAAAAAATGCAACATTCGTATTGAGTTTCGAGCTGATTAACCATCGACATTAGCGGCAACGCTGAATGGACGGTAATCAATTTGAGGAGAGTTGCTTGAGGTCGGCTTTCTCTCTCCGTGCAATTCTTTTAGAATCGTCACTTGAGGCAAACTTAATTGTAGGTCACGAGTATAACCGGCACTATTAAGTCAAACGGAGACTGGAGCGTGAACGATCTCACGGTCTTTAATCGCATCGACACGTTCACGCGCAGGTGTTACGATCTCATCGAGATATGCGATGCCTTGATAGTGTTTGGAAGGTAAGACGTAACTCGCCTATCTCTCGCACGCAAACGCCCTTAGACGGAAATACACGCCTATCATTGCATCAATCACGTAGCACTCAGATCCCAAGCAGGCGTATCAATTAAATCAAAAGTAAAAGGTATACGCGAACCAGACAGCGGCTCGTGCATACCTCAGCTTCACCGATCTCCATTTGAATCGCTAATTTGCTGTCTCACACAAATTAGGGTCGGTGAGTAATTTGTCAAGAATTCCCGCAGGCGCAACAAGGTGGGGATGATCGGCAGTGCGAGGGGTACGCAATACGAGGCGTATTGTCGCAGAATAGAGGATCTGTTTTACGAGAATCTCGACGAGATCAAACTGGTCCGCGACGACATTCTAGACGTTACCAAATGCACGTGGCTTGACAACATGCAGAAGTTCAGGGGCTCCGTAATGGAATTGGAGAACATGGTCAAGACCTTGATTGACCGCATATTCGAAGAGGTTCAAAACGTCGAGGAAGGTGTCGAAGCTATTTACGCCTTGCAGCGTTTCAAGCACAGAGAATCTTTGCGCGATGTGTTATCCATGAAATGGGTACAGGTATAAAAAGAATTTATGCAGCAAGATAAAAACGCTTTCGTCCAAATAATTAATGAAGAAAAACAAAGAAGATAAAGAATCCAAATAAAGAAAAATGAAGAAAGTATAAATACAATGTGCATGATGTAATGTATAAAAAGTGCTCATTAAGATCACAAAGAATCATGAGATATTTTCTGAATATACTTTTAGGTATGGAAAATATTTGGCAAAGAAATCGAGAGTTGCAGCAACAGCATGACATTGCGCGAAGTGTATCATCCATTGTTTCAACATCACGCGAAAGATGCCAACTTGTTGTGCATCGCTCGATATTTAGAACGATTGTTCCATATGATGATCGACGCATCTGACTGGATAGGAGATTGTGCAGCTCAGAAGTAAATCTGATAGAATATCAATATCTTCTCGAATGTATAGAAAAATCTTGTGTAAACGAGAATGGTATATATTTTAGGTACATATTAGAGCGGTACAAGCAAGTGACGAGCGCTATCGATAATAAGAAACCGCATGACACATTTTAAGATCGACGAATAAAAAGTATCATTATAAATAAATTAATTTCAGATCAAATACATATAAATATATATACATATAAATAAATAAATAAGTAAATATATATATATACATATATATATATATATATATATATAAGTTACTGAATATGTTAAAATGTCTCTCTTACTTGCAGGATATGTGTTCACAAATAGAAAAATTTAAACGGAATTAATATCGCTCGAGTAGAAATTTGACATTAAAAGAGAAAAAAAATCTGGTGCAATACAAGTTCCCTATTGCGCTCGCGTAACGCACATGGTGACGCACGTGCTCTGTGTATTGACGTTAGCCACATAATACGAAGGTATCGCTGGAGGATCTTCCTCTCCGACCTCCTTTCACACCATCCCCGGCGAAGGCTGATCTTTCATATCAACGGTACGGAGAGAATCGAATTCCATCCGAGTCACACCTGTTCCCAGACTTAGATATAATAAGTATAACCTATATTGGTGTAACGTTTTTTTTTCCCGACCATTCACAATCGTACTTACGATTCGACGTAATAAAAACGGGGAGATAAACGCTGCTGTTCTCGTGGATCGTCTAAACTATAACGGATTTTCGCGTGCCCCTCTATTTCGCCGATGCCCTTCCTTCGATCCGCTTGAAGTACGCGGCGGTTCGCGAGCGTGGAACCGCGTGGTCAGAAGGTAACAAGCTGACTGGCGGAACGCACGAAACCGAAACCCCGCTGGGAGAGAGAGATCGCCACAGACTAGCATGGTACCAGCAATGGCTGACGAAACAAGGGACACGTTACTGGGTCGCGTGAAAGAACAGGGCGAGATAGTGCGGCAATTGAAGGCTGCGAAAGCCGACATCACGCAGGTACGCGCGACGCGCCATTTCGCTCCTCTTCTCAAAGAAGACGTCTCATTTCCCGCGTTAGAAGCGAATCCTTTTCCTCTCTTTGTCTCTTCGGGCACTGTGCCGTCGATTATCGCTGACTGTATCCCCTTCACTTCTGCTTCCACGGAATTATGTCGAAAGTGCGTCCGTTTGCATAAGAGAAACGGCTAGTTTCGCAAATCTCGTGAGGTCTCTCTCGCCCACCGAAAAACGTTTCTCCATCCTCTTGTACACTTTGGTTATATTTGGTTATATTTGCTCTCATTTCATATTATTGTTTGATCTTACACTTGGAATTTAAACTTTACTTGCTTTCTCTTTCTCCCTTGAAAAGACCCAGGTGTGTGCGAGGCACAAAGATATTCCCCAGCAAACACCAAGTGACAGTGACATTACGTCAGTATTGTAGTTTCCCACTCGACAATGTAACGGTTATGTATAGTATATATTATACTGAATTTACATAGTTAAAAATTATAACATTGACTTGATGTTACTGTTACTTGGTGCGTTTGCTGAGTTACCTCTTCTCAAATTAAGAAAATGCAAATGGGACAATTTATAACAGTGGGCAGGATGTGGCGGGTTCTTTGAAGGTCCCTGGAAATGTAATACTGAGTTGTTAGAACTGTTAAGCTCAAAGAGCACACAGGTCTTTCTGTCACCAATGTTATGAGCTTTGCTTCAGGGAGACATCTTTTTCTCAGGGTTGCCGGGGACAGTCTGATATAAGTATTGACTTAGAGAGCTTAAACAATGATTTCGCGAATATCAGCTATGTGTGTGGTTGGTACCCAACGTCCAAAGATACCGAACTGTTCGATACTTGTGTCGCCCATAACGATGAGCTTGCGAGCTGGCCTCATCTGAATAGATGGTACATTAATATCAAAAGCTTTAGCCGTGAGGAGCGTTTAGCGTTTCCCACTGTGGGAACACCGCTCATTCCCTTGGCAGAAAAGGCCAAACGCCTAAAGGGCCTAAATACTTGCTGTATTGACAAAAATGTATTAGATAAAAAGGTGAGACAGTTGGTTGCTTGCAAGCAAAGCTGCCATAAATTATTAACGGTCGGTTTTAGGGTGAGAGGGGTGTGTTTGTCGATATCTCCCGTTGAAAGAGCATAGATGGCTGCATGAGAAGTTAACATAATCTGGTGAATGTGACTCGAACAAGTAGCTTGCAAGTGCAATTCCTGAGGGGGGGAACGTTAATTAAAGACTATGTCTTTATTAATTATAGACAACAGCAATAATTTATGGCAGCCTCTTGCTAGCTTGCTTACTGATTATTATCTCTGCTGTTTGGACTAGTCTGATAACCAACATTGAGGGGGCTTTTCTCTTTCATTCTGGTTGCCTTGTAAATTCCCTCGTCATTCCGTGATGTTATCACGTCTGATACGCGCCAATTCTTTCTCCGTCGTGTGGAAATATCGCAACATGCCGATGCACACGGCGTCACAGGTGGGTTTCGACGGTTACTGCTACGGAATCCCGAATAAACGAGAACGACGCACACGTTCTATGCTTTAATTGCGAATCTGCATTTCACTGCTGTTTGTAGATTACGGAGGAAGTCGCGAAATTACTGGACCTGAAAGCGCAACTACAACAAAGGGACGAAAATGGTTGCTCTAACAAGCTCATCCTTAAAACGCCCAAGGGCACGAGGGATTACAGTCCAGAACACATGGTGCTGCGAATGGGAGTCCTGGAAAAGATAATCGCAGTGTTCAAGCGCCACGGCGCAGAGACGGTAGATACCCCCGTGTTCGAGCTGAAGGTAAGAATTGCTTTTGTCTCGCACTTTTTATCAGCAAGAATTGCTGCTGAAAGAACTAGTACGTTTCAACTCGATCAATATCAGCACTGATTTTGCTCGTCACGCAGGATGTCTTGACAGGTAAATACGGCGAAGACTCCAAGCTCATCTACGATCTGAAGGATCAAGGTGGCGAGATTCTCGCTCTTAGATACGATTTAACAGTTCCTTTCGCGAGATATCTGGCTATGAACAAAGTGGTTTCCATGAAGAGGTATCAGATCGGGAAGGTCTATCGAAGAGATAACCCAGCCACGACAAAAGGCAGATACAGGGAGTTTTATCAATGCGTAAGCGTCATATTTTAGCAGACCGAGGTATCTTTCATGAATCTGTTATATAGTTTGCCATTTTTTTTTTAAATCGACATCCGTGTCTCTCAGGATTTCGATATCTCCGGCCAGTATGACCCGATGATAGCAGACGTGGAGTGCATTCGAGTCGTGACCGAAGCGTTGGAGACCCTGGACCTGGGGCCGTACGTCATCAAATTGAACCACAGGTGCATCTTGGACGGCATATTCGCGGCGTGCGGCATACCGCCGAGCAAATTCCGCAGTATCTGCTCGGCCGTCGACAAGTTGGACAAGAACCCTTGGGAGGAGGTGAAGAAAGAGATGATCGAAGAGAAGGGACTGGACGAACATATTGCTGACAAAGTCGGCAAATATGTCTCTCTGTCTGGCGGGGTGCAGCTGATAGCCGAGTTGAAGAAAGACAAGGATCTGATGAAGCAGTCCGCCGCTGTGCAAGGCTTGGACGCCATGGAATTATTGCTCAAGTACTGCGGCTTGTACAAAATCTTGGACAAAGTCAAGTTCGACCTGAGCCTCGCGAGAGGCCTCGACTACTACACAGGTGTTATTTACGAGGCCATATTGTGCGGTAGGTATTGATTTAATCGTTTAATTTAATAATAAATATAGGTTAATATTTAATAATTTAAATACTAATATTTAATTTGATAACAATTATTAAAATAAATTAAATAATTCATTTTCAATGAGAAGAAAAGTCTCAGCCCGAGAAAGGGAATGATTGCAATCTCCTAGAATCGTCAATTAATGTTTCGAATCAATCTTACTTCGAGTCGCGTCACTATCTCTCGAAATGCGATTTTATCTGTTGCAAAGTAAGTTCGGTGGTATTGATAATTCAACAATTTTCTAACAGGTGATGAAATTGGCGTTGGTAGCGTGGCGGGCGGCGGTCGCTACGACAACCTGGTCGGTATGTTCGACAACAAGAACAAGAATGTGCCTTGCGTCGGCGTGTCGTTGGGCGTCGAGCGGATATTCAGCATCCTGGAGGCGAAACTGGCGGACAAGGGTCTGAAAATCCGCTCCAACGAGATCGAAGTGTTCGTGGCCAGCGCGCAGAAGAACATGCACGAGGAGAGGATGAAGATACTGGCGGACCTTTGGGAGGGTGGTGTGAAAGCGGAGCACTCGTACAAGAAGAACGCGAAGTTGCTGGCTCAGCTGCAGCACTGCGAGGAGAACGGCATACCGCTGGCGATAATCATCGGCGAGGGCGAACTGGCTAAAGGTGAGGTCACTTTGAGAGTCGTCTCGACGCGGAAAGAGACTCGCGTGCCGCGCGACAACGTCATCGAGGAAATACGGAAGCTACTAGAAACGTTGTAGCCTCGTAGGTCACAATGACTCCTGTATACGTCCTGTGTACGTCTCGCGATCTCAAGAGAGGAGACAGAGAGAGAGAGGGAGAGAGTCGAGATCAGTGCAAGAAAATGTCAGCAAGAGAATACATTTGTATCGCATTTAGTCTCATTTTGAACTTCGCGCGCGCGAGGAAGAGAAAATTTATTTATTAAATTCGGAAGACGCACGATTTATCTTGTGTTGCGTGCGACTGTCGCGTCACTGTCGAACTACTACGGCATATGATCTAACAATGTAAACTTATTACATAGCAAGCGAATCCACACGACGTCCGTCACGACGACGTTCTGTACTCGCCGCATAGACAATTTTATAATCGGAATTCACGATAGCCGTTTCGTGCTGTCGCTACTGAGAAACCAAATACAGTTTATAACTTATTTTGCAGGAAGTTTTCAATAAAAATGTAACTTCGTATATTTCGTAAAAGGTGCCTCGCCCACTTCTTCCTTCATCTCGCGTCCGGGAGTATCGGTTACTAGATACAGCGGAATAAATTTATTACTGCGGATTTCTTTCGGATGTGCGAGTGATCTTGTCCACGTTAACCAATATCCAGCGGAGCGAAATGGGCATGGTTGGACAAGCGTGCGTGTGTGTGTTGCGCACAATCATAACATTGTAATTGGCAATCTTGCAATTTCCAACTATCCATCTGTTACATCCGTATTAATAGTTGTCAATTTAAAATTCGGCTCAAATGAGATATTCAGATTTGAGACTAGAGTCGGATGTGAGCTTTTCACTGGAATCTAGACTAGACGAATTTTGAACCTGGACGAGAAATTACACGATTTGCAGTCTTCCACATAACCCATAAAGTCGGAAATCGCATAAGAAACTCTAATTATGATGATAGGGTTGTAATGAATCTAATTATAATTATACGGTTTTGACATTGTGTGTGTGTGTGTGTGTGTGTGTGTATGGATATATATATATATATATATATATATATATATATATGTAAAGTTGAAAATTGTGCAATTCTTGATCTAGGGAATGGTAAGACATACATAACGCAGATTATACCTCACCTGAGACAAATTTCAAGTGACCAGTATTAATACTGGCCTTAATAATTTATCGGCGACGATCCGAAATAATACTGTACGACAAACCCTCGAAGTCACGGACCTCGACTCGATGGACTCGACGAAGAACTTGATGAAGAACTTGATGAAGAAGTTCATTCCTCGATATTTTCCCATTATCTGATCGATACGTCGCTATTTATCAATATTCTATTTGATATGTGTTTTTTACCAGGTCATCTCGGTCAATGTGTGTCGCTCGCCCGTGAGTCCGTTAAATCGGGAATATATCGTATTCATCATATCACAGTTTTCGATATGCTACTGAATTTAAGTTAAAACTTAATCGTTAATTCGCGTGTCTCTTATAATCTACGTTACATCTCATGATTATCATTGCTTAGCCTAATAACATTATCTCGTGATTCTTAAATTGAATGGTTCACTTGGTAAAAAGTACTACGTATATTCGACTAGTCTGGAAAATCCAATACTTCTGTACACCGACAAAATTGACGTTGATCGCTAAGTTGATCGACCAAAGTTACAAGTTTCCTGAAACTTTTGCGTCGATTAATAGTGTGTAAAATAACATATGTTTCATCGGCACGGTCCTTGCCTCGTGTGTTGCCCCTAAATGATGCAGCCTCTTAAGGCGAAACACGAATATATGCTAATCGCTGCAGTAGAAAGTCCCCAAACTAGCGTAGGATATAATTAATGTCAGTTATCCCGCACGCACGCGAACACAAAGCACACTTAAGGAAAATTACAGACCTCCGTCAGGCGAGGTAGTGCAGGTTGTACCCGAAAAATTCGGAGAAGCCTGATATATAATTATTGAATCGGGTGGAATCTAATCAGATAACTGATCAAATATTCCTTCTACGAGTAGAAACGAGGAAAGGAAAGCCCTTCCGGTCTTCGGACGCGCCCAGCTCGATCGCTACTTGTCCGTTTCATCGCGTTTCGCATGAGAACACTCGACTTTGACTTCCTCCAAGTCCGCGTCTTCCTTCCGACTAGACTTCCTCGTCATAGCTCGGTACTGCTCGAAAGGATCGACCGCCGGCTTCTCTATCACCACTTGCCGCGACGGCTTGTAAAAGTTTATCGACACGCTGGGCTTCTGCCACCTCGAGTCCGGGCGAGCGCTCGTCGAGGACGTCGCGTTCGAGGGGTTGTCCCGAGGCTCACGGGAATGATCGGTCACACACGCATCACTTTGTTTCTCCGTCCCGAGCGAGGGCACTTTTGCCTTCACGTCTACATTCGTCTTCCGCACTCCCGTCTGAACGGTCCTGCCCAGCGGGCGATCGTTCAGATCGCCGAGGACACTCCTATCACCAGAGGACGTCGTACCGTAACGAGTCCCATCCTCCTGGCAGCGCCTTCCGCCGTCCACGCGCGAGGTCGCTGCAGTTTGCTTCGATTCATCGGAAATGCCTGAAGCGAAGGGGTTAACTGAGGAAGCGGCGTTTTCGCGGCTCCTCCACGACGACACTTGCTCCTCCCTCGAAGCCGCAGGAGCCGGTGGTATTGCGGTGCTTCGGGGCTCGCTCTTCGAGGTCATGCTCAGCTCCTCAGCGGGCGACATGATGGTCACCGTCTTCTGGTTCACCCTGCTGACGTCGACTAATTTGTTGGCGAGCTGGCTCTTGTTGCTGTTGTCGATGGCGAGCGGGCTGACAGGCGTTGGGCTCTTCTCGCGCCTGCTGCTGTTGACGTCGCTGAGGCTGAACGCTCGGACGCGACGCTGCAGGTTCATCTGGCCCAGTTGCCGTTGGAGTATGCCGGCTTTCCACTTCGACAGCTGTTTCGGCGTGTGCAACGATGGTGTGATGGTGTTAGTCGGGCTCGTCTGAGCGCTCAGCTGCGCGGGTCTTATCGAGAAACGCCGAATCCCGGACGCCGGCTTCATCGGCGAGGAGATGCCGGGCGGCCCCTCCATGGTCACGAGCGGCTCCTTCGGCGACACCGAGAGGAAAGCTTCCGTGGAAGCGTAGGGCTCTTGCAGATTGCGCTCGTCTACCCGCAGAGTCAACGGGTGCAGATTCTGAAAAGCGTTCGCGTTCGTCGCGGTGAGGACATAGCGTTCGTTTCGGAATATTGCTCGGAAGATCGTCTCCGCGAGATTCTACACGCTCGGGAGATTTCCCAAACTGGAGATGTGTAATCGTGAAATTTGACGGGATTTTTTAATTAATCACCTCCGGTACATTCTGTCATTAATTACGTATGCACAGAGATTCGAGGATCCTGAGAATTTGCCTGTACTCTTTTTCAGGATTAACGATCACTTTTTCCTTAAGGCAGAAACGTGAAGAGTGAAATGTTTTCAAATTAGAAAATTTGCAGTTTTCACGAGTTCACGCTAAAAGATTCATGACCCCTCCGGGGTTTGAACATGACGTGTCAAAACAATCACGACACGTATTAAATTCATACATATTGAAAATGTCGGAATTTATTTTTAGAAAATGTCAGAAAAATCGAAATTCGAAATGAAAATGAAGTAAATGTCTATTCGTGCAAAATATATTGCATGTATAGTCAATTATATTTCTACTTCTGGTAAATATTTGCCAAAGGATATTGAAGTAACTATTTCGAAGTAACCATTTTATTCGAACCAGGTAAATACGACTCGAACGGTAGCACTTCTTTTTTCCGTACAATCCTTCCGACGCTTGGGAATCGGTCACGTAAACCCGGCAGTCCGAATCTCGCAAGAACATAATCCCTAGTGAGCGCAAACTCACCGGCAGCCGCGGTGGTCCGTAATCGGGCGGCGTGGGAGGGCTCACCGGGGTCGCCACCGGCCTCAGGGAGAATCTCCTAGGCTTCACAGGGGCGCTCTCCCTCCTGAAGAAGGCCGGTGTGTTGGAGCCGGTGGTATGAGTGCTGTCGGCCGTCCTCAGAGACACTCTTCGGCTGGACTGGTACGACTGCGTCCCGGTGACGGTGTTCTGGTTGCTCTGCGCGGCCGACCCCGACGAGAACAGCGTGAACAAACTGGGCAGCTTCGGCGGCGTCAAACTGGCCGTGCCCAGTTTCCTCTTCGGCTTCGCGACGTACTCATCGGGCACTGTCCCCACCCTCGTGTGGAGGGCGGTCAACGCCCTGAGGAAGTCCGCCAAGCTAGTCTCCTCCAGTAAAGTGTTGCCCTCCAGGTAATTCGACAAGTTACTGCCGTCGTGCGTGTAGTAATTCTTCGCGGTCGAATCGCGCCTGTCGTCCAGATACATCGGGGGCAACGGGCCAGTCGAGCTCTGCTGGCTGCTCTTCTCGTTGTTCTCCACGACCGCTTTGTCCGTGCTCTTCGCCGTGACCGACGTCCTCTTACTCTGCCTCCTCCAGCGGGGGAAGAGATTCTTCGTCGCGGCGAACGACGGGAATCTGTACTTGCCGCCGCTGTCCTTCGACGTTGGCAGTGGGGTCGTGTCGCGCGCTTTCATCAGCTCCTGCAGCTTCTTCGAAGCCGTCGGGCCCGACCAGGTCCACTCGCTGTTTTCCTGATTGAAGTCGTTCTTCGTTACGTGCAGCCGCACTTCGCTGGTCGCCCTCGAGCGGGGTTTGGTGAACGGGAACCTCTCGCCGCCGATCCTCCATTGCGAGACCTTCGGCAGGCCCTGCTTCGTGGAATTGTACGAGTCCGCCGTTTTGAACTGATCGTTCGAAGACACGTCAGCCTGAGCCGACTGATGGTCCTCGTCCTGCTCCCAGTCGTTCATGTCGTCCGGCGGCGGCGGTATGTACCCGAGGATGTTCACCAGCCGCGCCAGCAGCTCCGCCGGCTGCACCATCGCGTGCGCGGCGAACGTCGCGGTCTTGTCTATCCTTTGCAAGTCCGTCTCGGATACTACGCGCGTCAGCTCGTCCTGCGAGAATAATAACGTAAGTTATAATAATTCATAAGAATGACAAGTAATTTCGTAAACGAATGCGAATCGCACATCTGAACACAAGGGGGATTGAAGTATTTCAATATAACGTATTTTGTAAATGGATCGCGCGATATTTAAGAGATTGTTATGTTTAACATTTAGCGATCACAGCATCACGCCAATGTGTGATCCACCAATCTTCCACTATCACACCACCCTCCGGGTAGAAATGACGTCGAAATGATGAGAAAATGAGTTTTTATAGCCATTTCCTCGTCATTTTGACGTCACTTCTGTTTTTTATCTGGGACGGGAAAAAATTTCCCGAGTAAACTGTTAGGCCGCAAACGTGTTGAAGCTCCTGGCAAGAGAATTTGTAGCATACCGCTGGCACCACCTCGCTGTTAGCTCGTCGTCGCGGACGAGGCGGTGTGTGATCCTCCGTGAATCCACCTATCACCAAGGTACGGAGATCCGGGAAGCTGTTGCTGCGCGAGAGTTTCGCCAGAGGCACTTCGTAGTCGTACTCGTCCACGTACACCCTCTGATGAACGAGCGAGAGACGCTGATTAGTTCTTACAACGACGTCGAAAATGGGCAATATTAATTACAATATTAATTTTTCAACCAACATTATTTCTTTTTTTCCAAACCATTTTTTTCCTACAACTGCTGCTTTTACATGAAATGGCGAATCAATGCTCGTTATTAAAAGAGAAAAATAATGAGATATGGGGAGAGTACATAAAGGCGAGATCCGTCGGGCAACGAGGTCACTTACTTTGACCTTAGAAAGCTGCAGCTCGTTGAAAACGCGGCGCAGGTAATTGACCTCTTTGTTAAACTCGTTCCAAATCCTGCTCTGCGTGTGCTTGAGATTCATCGCCAGTCTGTGCTCGAGCCTCGTGATCTTTTTGCTGCGCATACCGCGAGCAATGAACGTCATTATCATGACGATGTAGCCCAGTCCGAAGGAGATCCAGCAGATCAGGAACGTCTTGTACATGATGAACAGCGGGCCGCTGCCTTTCGTGTTGTCCTGACCTGCAAAGTTCAACATGAGAGAGAGAGAGAGTCATGTCACACCTTACACCCGGATGGTCCCGAGACGCGACGTATATTTCGGGAATTGGGGATTGTCGGATGACGGGCGTTGTACGCGAGAAGAATTGTACAAAAGAAGGCTTTATTTAAAGGTTTAAACAGTTTGTAACCGATTGGGAACCTTGTCCCTGGCTCTCATTGCATTCGGCAGTGATTATACGAATTACGCGAGATGCGCGATAGTGCGAGGTTGAATATTAAGGAGCCCTCCTTCCGGATCGGCGCGGCTCTTTTATAGCCTCCCCTTATTCTTTAGGGGGGATGTATTAGCGACAGGTCAGCGGACGCGTGCCATCCAGAAATTGTATGATGACGTGTGCACCGCTTTCTTGCAACGCGATGTTTTTCTTGCAAGCATTACACATTCACGATGTTGCCGAAACGTTCTTGGTGTTTCGGCAACGCTAAGGTGAGTATATTAACACGCAGTTATAATAGTCAGAACGGCGAAACACTTTTCATTCGTTCGCTCTGATTTATTGCTATATATAATATTTACTCCCTTCGATTTTCAGTGATTTCAAATAATTTTTTCTTCGCAAACTTTGTCCCTCAGTTTTGCAAATCATCTTTCGATCCTTCGAAATTCCACGTTTACTCGTTTCGCAGCCGTGTGTTCATTATCATCGATTATTCTATAGGTAATCTCGCTTTGTGATATGGGGAGCTACTTACGCATTCTCCTCCAATCCTGCTTTCCACGCGTGAGCATGCAATGAGATAAAGAGACATATTCTTATTTAATAATCGAACGAAACGCGTAAATGCGTAGGTCGTAAATTCAAACACGATGGACACGATTGCGCGATAAGAGCACAAGTGTACACACGCGTATCAATCAGGAGAGCCGACGGAACTTATCGAATGTTGTACACCCTCGAGTACTCCCGGTATTATCAAATCGTCTACATCGGATCAGATTGACGTTATTTTTAATTTAAATTTATCTACAATTTCGTCGGGAATAAATGATACTTGGGACTTCTTATTTACCAATTCCCTCGTTAAAGTCGCAACATCTATCGTGACTTCTTAAGATTCCCGGTATCATTTCTGTGCGGAATATACTTCTTCACTCGGAGTATCTTTCTCAATCTTTCGCAAGCTCTCATGAATATTCTCGACCGATAATATCTGAAATAATATCCCTCTTTCCAAATTTATATTTATAGAGGCTCTTTTTAGATTATTAAGGAAAGGCGAGAGGAAGAGCGCCGTTATAGTATTATTTAATTATATATTAATTACCATGTGAGGATATAAATATTTATCTCTTCTTCTTCTATCCTTCTCTTTCATTCAACCGCCCGCTTCCCGCCCGATACGTTGATTCTTTAATTCCTTTAGAAACGGTCTCGCTTCATATTGCACGTGCATCTATCGCTACTTAATGGATCACGTAACGAGCGAGATACAATCTCTGCCAAATGTTAACAGTTGCTCTCGTTTCGCAGTCAATCACATTGCAGCAATCCCGAAACATTTGGCCGCGCGTTTATCTCCTGCAGGCTCTGTCATACATATGAATGAACGACCGGTACAGGAATGACATCACGCCGTTTCGTAGGACATAGAGGCGGGCGCGCGCTTCCACGAAGGCAGCAGGCGAGATCGCTGATCTACTCGACTTCAGTCTCGTGATCGCCGAGCAGAATCTCGGTTATCGATAAAAAGAAAAGAAAAAAAAAAATAATCGTTCGATCGGCAGCGTGTTCGAACGACACGCGCATCTCCGGGAAATCGATAAGATAGAATATTTACCTGCAACGATATCGCCGAAACCGATGGTCGTCAGCGTAACAAAGGCGTAATAGACCGCCTGGTCGTAAGTCCAGCCCTCGTAATACGAGAACAAGAAGGCCGGGAAGAAGATGAACATGACGAAGCCCGGCGTCAGGTACATGAAGATCTGCGCGGCCAGGCCCACCTTGCGCGTCTCCAGATGCGTCGTTTTCTTGGGCGAGTAGTTGGCCTGGCTCTGCTTGTAGGACTTGTACTTGCGATGAGCCCGGATGAACACCTGGCTGAAAAAGTCACCCAGCTGCGTCAGCAGGATCCCGTTCATGGGGATGCCCACCAGGCCGTAGAATATCATCAGGATGCGGCTGAGCGTGTTCGTGGGCGCCAGGTTGCCGTATCCTGCGTGATAGATCGTGAAAATTAACGTAGATAATGAATATTCAGATAGAAGTAACGATGACGTCAAAATGACGTCGGAATGGCGAGAAAATGATTATAAACACTCACTTCTCGATCATTTTCTCATCGTTTCGGCGTCATTTTGATGTCATCGTGACTTACTGTTCTATCTGGATAAAAAGTGCGAAGAGATGTGAGACACGATCGCTGTGAAGAAGAGATACTTCCACGTAGAATTCGTTAATTTTGAAGAGAGCATTATAATGACCTCGTAGAAGACACCGTTAATGCAATACTAATAATTAACAGTTGTTATTAACAGTTATGGCAGCGATGCTCCAAAGCGGCGATCGTGACTCGTGACGAACTCGGATATTCGGATGCGCCCGATCTGAAATTTTCGACGTCTTTCTATGCCCGATAAATGGGACAGCTGCATTGACGGAATCTTCAGTACAACGAAGCTGTCATCGCATAATCGAAACGTAATTTCTGGAAATAAGATTCGCAGAGAGGAATTCTCGAATATATCTCGGAGACGTCCTGCACTTTCCCTGACGTTCCTCCCGATCGTTTCCCACTGATCCTCGAGGCTGAAGTGGAGGAGCTTAAAGCTCTTGATCCACTTGAATTCACACCTACCGATAGTGCTGACGACCGTGTAAGCGAAGTAGAAGCTGTTGTAGAAGTCCCATCGCTTTCGGTCCTCTTCGCCCTCGGTATAATTGAACACCGACTTCTCGCAGTACTCCGTGAGCTTATCCAGGATCTCGGTTTGATTGTGACGAGGACTAGGAATATAGTGCTTGTGCAGCAGCGCTGAAAATACGTGTCTTTCAGATGCGAGCGACCGGCTCGGGCGATAATCATCTTGAACTTATCTCCGGGATAATAATGAGTAATCTCTCTCTCTCTCTCTTTCTCTCTCTCTTTTTCTTTACACAATGAGATCCTCGTGATCGTTTCCGGGCCATACTATTTTCGCGAGAATTGCCACGCGCTATCTTATCGGCCGATATTTGTCATTTTATATTGCCCGCTTGCACAAACCTTGCCTGGACCTTTCGCACAGACGCGCGAATATATACACACGTACGCACACAAACGGTAACTACACGTGAACGAAATTCGCCAATGTACACAGATACAATTATTGCCGCCGTTGCTTGAGTGAACGAGCAGAGCGTTTGCTCTCTCACGACGACGCTTTTTTTCGTTAATATTTTTATTAAAATTCTTCGTATCTCTCTTGTTTGCGATTAAATACAAGTTTACCGTCGAGGTGCATCTTGACCGATGAGCCCGCAGCTCTCATTTACTATCTGATACCGTTAAAATTAAGATCCAGGATTACGAAGAGGTATCTCGGAACATACGCGAGCAATCTCTCGTTTGTTGCGAAAAACGTTCTAACACGCGATCGGACTGGCAAAAATGCGGCGACTTCGCGTAACACGCGATCCCCGACCTCAAGTGCAATTAACTAATCGATTGCTTCTTCACCTATGTCACACGGATCATCGAGAGATCGTTCCACGTGAAACGGAAAGTAATTCGATACGGCATCGAAACTGCCGTCGAAATGATGAGGAAACGATCGAGTCATGACGGAAAAAAAAAAGTGAAAATTTCTACAGTCATTTTCTCGTCGTTGACGTTTTGACGTTGTTACGATTTCCCGTTCTACCCGGGACACCGTCGTCAATTCTTATGCGGCGACGATCTCGACGTCAGATCAGGGCCGGCGGACAAGGACGGGAATAACTCATTACGATCTTATATTTATTCAGCGCGCGCGAAAACGCGGCACGTTCCCTCAGCGTTCGGAGCGGCGGCCACCGTAAGGAGGGAAATAACAGGAATACGAGCATTATGAAAACGGATATCGCCGGTTTGCTCAGGATACGGCGACTTCGACACGGGAGTGGTAAGCGAGATAATGCTTTCGTAATCGGTCGACCCTCCATTGACACTGACACTGGCCCTCTCTCCGGCGCGACATTGTGATCGGCTGGACTATTTGAATAATGCCCTTTCTTGCCGCAACAATGGCACGGGGCACGGTCATGAATACAAAGCCCAATGACACGGCAAGTCGACGCGACTTCCCGGCTATTTAACCAAGTTGGCTCGTTATAGAAGGTTTCCGCGCGTTTTCACCAGACTAACTCGACCAACTCGCATACGGAGAACCCCGAGGGGGGCGAGAGAGAGGGGGGGGGGGNCGCTCGGCGTTTCGATGATCAATCGTTCTAAAGGACCCGGTAACCTCGACGATGAACACCGGGCCTCGTTTGAGAATCAAACAAGCCGTCGGTTAAAGTGAAAACGCGAGGCTAAGCGCATCCGGCGAGCCCCGGACGCTTTGCACGCCGCACTCGTCCGCCGTATGGCCGCGAACGCCTGCATTATCGTCGCCGAAATCGAGCGAGCCACGTAAGCCTGCCTGGGAACGCACGTCTCCCCAGTTGAATATCAGGTCGTTTCCCTGATACCTCGAGACACTGAACTTTAATCCGGGCGTATTAACGAAATCTTGAGAGCGCCTCTTTATCGTTCCGCGTTG